TTCTGAATGTTCTGCAGCTGCGTAATTGAGGCTTGACTACAACCGTAGTAAAGTGCATTGCAGTAGTCAAGCGATGAGATTACAATTGCTTGAGTCAGTGTTCCCATCTGTTTGGTTGTGAGGAAAGTTTTCATCTTAGCAAGGTCTCTTAGTTTCAGAAAACACGATGTTTTAAGTTGCTTGATTTGCTCACCAAAGTTTAGTTGAGAGTCGAGACGAAATCCGAGGTTCTTTGCAACAGGTGACAGCCTGACACACGTCTCAGAGTTAACAAACACGCCCCCTATGGACAGCTGCTGGAGAACAAGCGGTGTCCCAAAGACAAGAATCTCAGTTTTTCCTGCATTGAGCTGTAGATAATGTTTTTTCATCCAGTCATTAATTTCTTGGAAACATTTGGGAACATCGTTGATAAGGACGGTGGGCTCCTCGTTTGGCTTGAAACTTTTATACAGCTGATGATCGTCGGCGTAACCCTGGATGGAGAAGTTCAAATCATGTGCTGCTGAGTACAAAGAGCGAATGTAGATGTTGAACAGGACCGGACCCAGCACAGAGCCTTGTGGGACTCCAAACTTAATCACTATCTCATAAGATTCCTCATTTCCAACTTTAATCGTTTGACATCTACCTGTGAGGAAGCTGCTGAACCATTTCCAAGCTGTCCCTGTTATTCCCAACTCATTTCTGAGGATGTTCAGTAGTTTGCAGTGGTCAACTGTATCAAAAGCTGCGCTGAGATCTAGGAGAAGAACAACAGTTGCCTTGCTTTCTGTAGATGCAATGAGTAGATCGTTAACAACTCTCACAAGCAGAGTCTCGGTGCTGTGTTTTGATTTGTATCCAGACTGCTGTGGGATGTTCAGGTTGTTGTTTTCGAGATGTTCATTTAGACGCCTGAGGACTACTCTTTCTATCAACTTGCCCACAAAACTAAGGTTAGATATTGGTCTGTAATTCTTGAGATTATCACTATCTAATCCCTGGCCCTTGATCAGGGGTGTGATATGAGCTAGTTTAGCGCCATCAATACTGCCAGAAGATAATGAAGCATTTACTATGTCAACTAAGACGGGTAGTAGAACCTCAAGGTTTTCTTTAAAGATGTTTGCAGGTAGAGGGTCAATTGAAGAAGACTTGATCTCAGATGCCTTGATTATCTCCTCTAGTTCTTCTAGAGTAGTTGGAGAGAACTCAGCTAGTTTTTCTCCGCAGTAAGAGGGCGTTTGATCGTCAGACTCCACATGATCAAAGTTATTTCGTATTGCCTTTATTTTCTCCTGAAAATATACGTTAAAGTTTTCGACTGTGTCCTTGAGAGACTCCGACGAAGGCAACACAATGCTTTTATCCCGATCAAGAAAGGTGTCCACAAATCTAAAAAGACTCTTAGAAGAATAGGAATGCTTTATGAATTCGACTTTGAAAAACTCATGTTTCTTCCTGTCTGAGAGTTCTGTGCACTGCTCTCTGATTGATTCATAGTGTTTCTTGTCAGTTAAAGATCCGGAGATTTTCCACTTTGTCTCGGCTTTTCTTCTTTGGCTTCTAAGTGCTTTATATTCACCATCGAACCAAGGGGCAGACTTACGTTCTTTGATTTCCTTTGTGAGGAGAGGAGCATGGTTATTCAGCACAGTTAGGCACTTAGAGTTGTATAGGCTGATGCGGCTTTCAAATGACGGCATTTCAGCTTGTGATAGACCCTCAGGATCCATTACAGTAACCAATTCCTCAGCAAGATTATCCGCAAAACAATTTTTGTCAATTTCTTTGACATTTCTGAATGTGATAACTTTTTTCTTGTTGAGATTGCTTGCAACTGTTTTTGTGAGGCTAAAAGTAACCGGGAAATGGTCACAGTTTGGGAACATTTCTGAGGTGTGCGAGTCTACTGTGACACTCTTTGGATTGACTATCTGATGGGAGGAGATTACAACATCCAGAATATGTCCTTTGTTGTGAGTTGGATCTCTCACGTATTGATGCAGTCCATAGCTGGCCAATACTTCAGTCAGTTTGGCCGTGTTTCTTGATTTATGATCATCCAAATGAATATTAAGATCACCACAGATTAAAAACTTCTTGTATTTCATGAATATGTTCCCAATAAACTCATCCAAATCTTCAAAAAATACATCAGTCAATGACCCTGGTCGGTAAACACAAGCACAGAGGACAGTATCACCCGATGAGTCTCGAAATTTGCCTAAAACCGCTTCAAACGTATCTCCACACTTATCAAACACAGGAGTAAGGTTCAAATCACTTGAATTGTAAATAATTCCAACTCCTCCGCCTCTGCATTTAGCGGAGTCTTTCCTGATGTAGTGAATCAAGTTATAGCCGTAAGACTTGATGGTAGCAGTAACATCATTCTTCATGCTGGTGAGCCAAGTCTCAGTGACAAAAAGGACAGAGATTCCTTGGTCGATTATAGATTCCATGATTGGTTGAATCTTATTATTGAGAGATCTCACATTCCAGCAACAGCCAAGAATCTCCGCCGGAGAGGATTTCAGACCACTGCTTACAAGTTTTTTGAACTGTAGTAATTGATAGTTTTGCGGAGATGCTGCTGTTCAGCAACATAAGCTGGACATGTCCTATCAAATGCCGTGTGTGTGTTTCTTTCATCCCGATACTTGCCCTTAGAGCAGTTAATGCAGGATGAAATAAGACTATTAGTTTTCTTTTCTGGACAATCTTCTGACGTATGATTCTTGGAACAATAACCACAAATAGCTTTTTCTGATTCGCACTCCGACCTGTAGTGTCCAAAACCTTGGCAGTTGTTGCATCGTTTTACATGAAATTGATCATAAACTTTGCAACTAAACGAACTGATGTATAGCCGATCTCCCTGTTGTTCTATGATTTTCCTGATATTGTTACTAACTCGTATAGTAGCTTGATGCTTGCTGCTGTTTTTGATCTGAGGTTTAACTTTTAGTACAGAAAATGTTTCACCCTGGGATTTTAATGCCTTAATGTTGGGGTGAGCTTGAAGGAGCAGGTCTTCTAGATCTTCTTCAGAATAATTATCAGCAAGGTTAGCAACAGAGATTGTGGGCAAACGTTCTGGTGGCTGGTGCGTTTTCATTTCTGGAAGTTGCTGGGATACTTTCTTGACAAGATTTTCCCTGTCAGCCGTTGTCGGACACACAACCACAATGTCCCCGTTCTTGTTGACATACCGTTTGTCAGCATGAATGGCGTTGTCTTTGATGATTTTGTCAACTTCTTCTTGGTGATCTTTTGCTTGATTTTCTGGTGTTTTGCTGGACATGATTAATACAGAGCGATATGAAGGGGCAACTGGTGCTGGAGATGGAGGAGAAGAAATTTCAGTTTTGTCCGGAGATGTTTTCATATTCACAACTTTCATAAGTAAACCCTTCATGTCCTCCATAGATTGGGTCAGATTATCTACTCGCCTGTCAATCAGGTCGACTTTACTTTCGGCACTGACTGCGGAGTTCTGTTCAGAGTGTGTCTTGCAGACATTACACACAAACGTAAAAGTCCCAAATCTGGAACTGTTAACACCCTTGGTTGCGTTTCTGTCGGAGTATGCTTTGAAGAAAGTGCGAGGACAGATTACAGCATTATTGATCCTATCTTTATCAGCATCTCGACAAACAGCATGAAATGACGATTTACACAAAAAGCAGATAAGAGCAGTGTCATTAGCTTGAACATCATTACAGGTGTTACAAGTGCCGTCTTTGATGTAGGCAAACTGGTATTGAAGAATGTTACCTTGTCGCTGTTGAGTACTTTCAGAGGATGTGGATGAGTTCAGGGTAGGTGTGAAACGTTGCGGGGATAACATATCTTCGCTAACATTCCTGTCATTCTTTGGCGTATCATCCTGTAACGAGATTGAGGACCTGTTACCCTCATCATCAAAACCACCTTCTCCGATCATTGCGCACTTCTTTTACAAAGTGAAACAGTGCAGATCAGCAGAGTCAGTAGAGAATCAAAATTGAGTTCGGGGTCCTTACAATAAATGTATTTAATTGTAGTTGTGAAAATAGTTTAATTGTAGTTGTGAAAATAGTTTAAAAATATGGGTGTACCAAAATCTGAAAATTTATCTAGTCACTCCGTAACGAAATTTCGACTTTTAATTACTCAAAAACGGATTGATTTCTCACTATTTTCTTTGGCAGATATGTAAATCGTAGGTTTAAAAAGCCTTAGAAACATAATTTAACCAATAATGAACCTGTTTTCTTGGACATTTTTCGGAAAAAATGGGTAAAATTGTCACACCGTAACATTCTATAGTTTTGAAATATGCCCTTTTAACCTATGAAAAATGGGTTTCGTATGCTCCTTTTCAAAATGTTTATGGCCTAGTATTTGCATGCCATATGGTCTAGTTCTTGCACATGTTGATTGTTTATCTAGATATGAGTCGAGATCACCAAAAAGGATTCTTATACAGTGCTTCTGTGTGATAAAAAGACTATCATTTGACCGTTCTTTGAGGACAACTCCCCAAACACTTATACCATAACTTAGATGTGATTCAAATAGAGCATTATATATTTTTAAATATAGTTCAGCAGGTATCAAGTGCCGAATTCTACAGATTGCACCAGTCATGGACCTCAGTTTTTTACGGATGTAGTGCATGTGGGCAGACCAGTTTAGCTTACTATCTATAACAACACCTAAGAATTTGGTATCCTTGACTTTAGTGATAACCTTACCATTGATGAATATTGATCTAGATTCGTCTAGCAGGGTAGCAAATGGTCTAGTCCGTGCACAAGTGTCATCATATTCAGAGGCAGGTTTAAAATGGATGTAGCAGCATTTTGACATGTTGATATGAAGTAGTTCTTTTATTCAAATTTCTGATTGTTTCTGAATAGACTCAGTGAAGACAGATTCTAATGGAAATAAATAGCTGAATAACGTATCGACATTTCTACGTCATACTCATATTCTCAAATTATTTGTTATATAGTAGTGTTGAAAGTATTAAAATATTTTAATACTTTCAACACTACTATATAACAAATAATTTGAGAATATGAGTATGACGTAGAAATGTCGATACGTTATTCAGCTATTTATTTCCATTAGAATCTGTCTTCACTGAGTCTATTCAGAAACAATCAGAAATTTGAATAAAAGAACTATCAAATCATGAGACTCAAAAACACTACACGAATCCACCAGATATGAAGTAGATTACATTTCATATAAATCGAGACATGTTTAAGCACTAAGTTGGCTTTTTTGTATGTTGCTTCTCTAGACGGTCCTGATATGAAGATATTAGTGTCATCAGCATAAACTACAAATTTCACTTCACTGTCTGAAAAACAGTTTACTATATCGTTCATATACAGTAGGAAGAGTAATGGCCCTAGAATTGACCCTTGAGGAACCCCGAATTCCACATCCATTGTTTCTGATGGTACATCGTTATACATCACATACTGCTTTCTGTTAGTCAAGTAGCTTTTTAGTAAAGTTAGTGCTGTGCCCCTAATACCATATGAATTTAGCTTGCTTAGAATAATATTGTGATCTTGAAGGGTGTCAAAGGCTTTGCTCAAGTCAATGAATATGCCTAGGACATGTTTATTGCTAGCCAGGGACTTTGTAACAGAGTCTATAGATTTGTGTAGAGCATGGGCGGTAGAATGGCCTTTTCTAAATCCAAACTGCGAGTCTGTTAGTACACCTTTAGATGTGAAGAAATTATAGAGCCGTTTGTAAATGACCTTCTCGAAAATTTTTCCAAATAAAGGTAATATTGATACAGGCCGATAATTTTCAATACATTCCTTATTGTCTTTCTTGTAAATAGGAATAACTTTACCAGTTTTAAAAATACTTGGGAATGTTCCACTTTGTATACATATGTTGTAAAGCCTAGCCAAGGTACCAGCGATGAGCTTTGCCGATTTTTTTACAACGATTATAGGTATGTCACTTGCCTTGCCATTTTGAAAATCTCTGATGACCTCGATAATCTCATCTTCATTAGTTTCTTCTAGGTATATGGAGTCAGACACTGAATTAGACATGAATTGAGCAAATGATTCTAATGGTTCCAGAGAAATACTATTGTTCGACAATACATTTCTATTGAGATTGCTTGCAAGAGATGTAAAGTATTCACAAAATTTGTTAGCAATTATTCGTCTGCAAGTAATTCTCTGGCCATCTATGACAAAATCGTCCTTACATCTAGACATATTCTTACCACGGAGTTCATTGATAACTTCCCTGGTCTTTTTTGAGTTCATGCTGTACTTCTCTAATTTTCTAGTATAGCACATAGCTTTTGCCATATTTATTGAGTTTTTGAGAAACTTGTCAAATTCCTTGTAGCAGATGTGCTTGTTTTGATCCCCGTCAGGTAGTTTTAATGTACAAGTCTTCTTCCATTCGAAATACAACCTAGCTTTCTTGTCTATGGAATTAATTAGCCCCTGGGTAATCCAAGGGTTAGTTATGCTGTTGCGTTTAGTGGTTCTAGGAGTAAGAAGTTTGCAAGACAAATCTATCTTTTCTTGAAATAACTGCATGAAAGAGTCAAATGTGTCACAGCTGTGCTGGAACCTATCTATATCGTTTTCTATTTCAAGACAGAGCTTCTCTAGGTTAGCATTACTATAGTCGTAGTGTATGGTAATTTTGTCTGGTGAATCAGGTTTAGGCACAGAGTTAGGGGGAAGCTCAACAAGAGTGAATACAGGGTGATGGTGGGAGATATTATCAGATATCACACCAGAAATAAGGGATTGGTCTACTACATTGGTGTGGATATTGTCAATACAAGTCCTGGAACAGCCAGGCATTTGGTGTGTTGGTACTGATATGGTTGGTGTGAAGCCGTTGTTGAATATTATTTCTTGGAATTTGTCCTCTGATGGAGATGGGTCTTTCAAGATGTTGACATTGAAATCACCAATAATGTATACTTTTTTGCCATTCAATTTTGAGAGAATACGTTCATATGCTTCGTTGAACAGTTCAAGTGATGCGTTCGGGGGACGGTAGATAACCCCTACAACAGTTGGGTCTTGCAAGCTAGTGATAGATACAAATAGTGATTCTATGTGTTCATTACAGAGAGATAAGCCAGTAATCTTGTTAAAGTTAAAGGAATCGTGCAGGTAAAGACACACTCCTGACCCTTTACTCTTGAACTGGTTTTTCTTTTGACAAAAGTAACGTGATTGGTAACAGGAGGAATATCCGTTAAGCTGATACAGGGCTCCATTTTCGGGATTGGTGTTTGTTTCTGCAAGGTCGATAACAGAGAATTTGTGGTCGATACAAGACAGCTCAACTGCAAAGTTGTCAAAGTTGGATGCATTTCCATCAATGTTAAGAAATAATTTGGACAAATATTTAACTGAATTTTTAGGTAGGATGGTGGCATTCAACTCTTTTATGGAGAATGTTTTGCAATTTTCAAGAACCTTTGAGCTATTGTAGATAGATTCTATATAATTGACTGGCTCATCATCAATGAGGCCATTGTTTGCAAAGTGGGGAGCTTGGTAGAAAGGGTTGTACCGAACAATATCATTGGCATCAGTGCATATTTTGCAGTATGTTCCATCTCGAAATTTGACTATGTTATCATCAGTTTTGCATTTTTCGTGCATTATTTTGTCACACATCTGACAAATTATGAATGGATGTCCAGCACGCACAGGTCTATTGCAGCAGCAGCAAATTTCGTATATTAGTTTGACTATCATGACTGAAGTACAGATCTACGGGGACGTGGGGAAAATCTATTTTGGGCCTTGGCAACAGCACTGAACAGCCTCCCATCAACGGGGCTACCTAGGATCTTATGGGCAATTGCCCGGGAGAGTTTAAAGATACCGTTTGATCCAAGGTGGATTGGGTCATCCGGCTTCTTGTATCTACAATGGTACAAAATTCATGATTTATACAATATTATGCACTATCCAGATCTAAGATATTTCTTCATATTTCCTCTAGTTTTCTGTAAATTCTTTCAAATATATAAATGGTACTGGTCACCAACATTAAAACTTTCAATTTTGTTGGAACAAGCACTGTTTTGTAATTGCAAATTTGTTTTATAAATTTTAGACAGTACTAACACAACTCAATTAAAGTTTCAGGTTATGAGGTAGGTATGTGAGTTCTATTTTCTCCTGCACTTGACAAGTAGGGTAGCATCAAACGTGGCTACACTGCATCTGTGATGAGAATTTAGGAAGAATTCAAGCATAGGCAAACTGAATGATTCCATGTTTAGCATTTTTGGTTTGCCTTCTGACAGCTTTCGCTTATGAAAACGTACTCCAGCTCAAGTATAATGAAAACACTGTTCCTACTTTCAAAGGACAGAATTTCAGTGTCTTTATCTCTAGTGAAACTGTCATATCTCAAAATGTTGGACACCTAACTTATAGCTTGGTAAATGAAAATAATCATGAGACCCCACCCTTCCAATCATTTCTCATGGTGTGTTCCTTTGCTCCAACCATTTTTTCAGAATACACCCAACTGGCTATATTCATGAAGAATTATTGTCAAACTGTTATACCAATTACTCCAGTGCTTAGTGAAGAATCTTCTCCTGATCGATGTTTTAGTATAGATTCAACAACAATGAACCTGCTTTTGATATCATTTGTTACAGAAAGTCAACTGCCCTCTTATCTCAACAGTCAAAAGAATTCAGTTCAAGTGAAAATAAAATACGGAGCTTGTGGTGATTATGGACTTACACTTGTTGTTGGAATTGAAACCATTCAAAACACTTTCCACAGCGATGTTAAATTTTCTGTCATGAATACTGATTTGGAAAGCAATGATACGGAAGTGGAGGGAGATTCTAATGAGGAAGGCATCATGATTAAATTTGGAGGAATAATCGGGGAACCGAAATGCAGGAAACTTATTGCATGGGTGGAAAACAGAGGCACCTTCTCATACCTTGCCGAATCAATGTCTGGTGTTGTAGCAATCAACAGAAAAGTTTATGAAAGGACAATTATCATGAGATGTTTTCTAAGCATGGACGAAAATGAAACCAAAAAGGAACACACCCTCATTACTTTTCTGTCGTATCGTGGTCCTACAAAGCTGCAAGTTGATGCTAATCCTTGGCTTCATCACCCTCCCATATCTCCTAAAAACCCCCATATTTGCTACAGTCAATCTCAAAACTCTCCTGGATTTCTCTCAATATCTGACATGGAAATTAGTGGTATTATCCCTTACAATAATGTATCAGCTCAAGTTTCTGTTCTAGCTTGCATGTCTGATTCTAATTCTGGAGATGATCTCTGTGATGGTAACTTTATGGCTATTTTTTCAGGCTCCCCCATTACTTTGCCTGATAATTCAAGTTTTTTCTTGGGCCCATCTTATGATCATAACATGCTGGGGTTGCTGTTTACCCAACAAATTCAACCACCCTTCTGTCTAGATTTAAAAGTAGCAAAGAGTACAAGATATATGATAAATGTCATGCTGTTTGCTGCTGCTGGTGGCAGTATCCCACCGCAATCCCACCATAACATAGACCTGTCTTGCCCATACAATTATGGTTTCAGTCTCAGTGCTATTATGTACAGAACTCACACCCACAACCTAGGCCGGTTTGTTTCAATGTGGGTAGACCACAGAAACACCTGGACTCTACTTGCCTCTGAGAACAATACAAATGCCATTGTACAACTCTCTGAACCATTCCACATACGAGTCAATGACACACTGAATGTGCGGTGTACCTATGATACTCATGGGGTAAATACAGCAACTTATATCGGAGAAAGTGGTGAGATGTGCAACTTCTACTTGTATTACATCACCAACGCCACAGCGGGGAGAGAAATCAGAGATTGTTTTATAGAAAAGAAATTCACCCCTCCCTACAGTAGGGAGGGGGAGTTTTATCATCAGCTACCCAGGCGTCGTGTTACCTTCGAAACAAACCTGGAATTGTTGGCAAGTTGGTCCCTTCAGGCCCAGAGCATTCAGGGGAACTTAGGAATCTGTAATCTTGAGCATGAGGGTACTATCCTCGTCATCTTGGAAAGGTATTCGGAACATTTCTCACAAGATAAGGACTGGTTTGATGCGGAAAATGTGTTGATAGACTTTAGAAGTGTCATCAAAACAAATGCTTTGACAGTGTTTTCTATGCATAATAACACCGTTCTGCACGGTGCTGGAGCTAATCGTTTTTACCTTCCAACTGGGCTTTATCTGTCAGCTGAGGGTGAACTTTTCATAACAGATCTTGGTTTACACCAAGTTGTTAAATTCAGTCATGTTAAGTTCAATCCGAGTGAAGGACCAGAACTAGTATTAGGAACTGCCTTTGACCCAGGTAATGACAGCACTCATTTCTGCAAGCCAACATCAGTGCTTACAGACCGTGAAGAGAATATCTATGTGGGAGATGGACTGTGTAACACTAGAATTGTCAAGTTTGAGGACGACGGTTACTACGTAGGCTCATATGGAACACCGTCATCTAAAAGAGGACTACCGGGGACTTTTGGGGAGATAACTGATCTTGCACTGGACACTACAAGAGAGGTAGTACTGGCACTTGACAACCAGCTGCTACAAATCCAGGTTATGGACTTTAGCGGAAACTTCTATCAAGTTATTGACGTCTCCCGGTACAAGAACGTGCTGAAGATATGCTATTCTCCTGACATGGACGCTATCCTGGTATTAACTTCATATGGGCTGGAGAGTGACATCTTTATCTTAGACCCCGTCACAGGAATGGAACTTAACTTTATCTCTGGAAGAACTAGAAGTTTCTCTGCAATAACTGTCATCCCAGGAAACAACACTGTTCTAGTTGGAGACAGGTCAGGAAGGATAACAATGTACTCGGACAGCAACAGAGTTACTAATGATGTATACGAGAACCCCAACTCTAAAGTTCACGAGTTCTCTGCTCCAGAATCCAAGGTTTCGGACGGGAAACTAACACAACTGTCACCCCTGATCCACTTCCTGTACAAACCAGGCCTGACTGATCTTGAAGAACCTCCCAAGGGTCGCCGCCACAAGTTTAGCCGCAGACTCACTATGATCGTCAGCGCGTCAGCTGTGGCTGTTCTGTTCTTCATTGTGGCGATTGTTTTCACGGTTACTTTCTGCAGTAGATGTGGTTCAAAGAAGGAGTATGAGAAGTGCTTGCTGACTTTTTTTTTTTTTTTTTTATCTAGACACTTATTTTACTTCGGTGTATTCCAACAGCCACAATGTTACACAAGTGCAACCAGCCAATTACAGGAAGCCGAAGGATCTTTTTGGCCAGTGACGGTTAAGGTAGTGTGTACCATACTTTCTTCGTCCGAGACTTTGCTGCAATGTGCAGCTCCTCATTTAACCCTCACACCCGATTTCTCGAGTATTCGGCTGAGTAGACCGGGGGGCTGCATAGACCACTCATGATCCTTAGCTGAACGTCGACGACGCTCACCCCACGACCAGGCAGTCAGTGGGTTTCGAACTCGCAACCTAACGATTGTAAGACAGGCGTTCTAACCAACTGCGCTACCTGGCCGCTAAAAACACTGATAGTGAGGGGGAGGAGGATGTACTTTATGACACCCTTCATGAGAGTTACGAGAACATGAGGGCACTGTAGAGACACTGTTATACGACCAGGTCACTGAACATTTGCACTTTAGATTCGTACCGAGGAATGATTAGTGGAATGACTCAAAAAAGGAGATGTTGTAATTTCGCATGTTAGCAAAGAGTGGGGATGAGATGATTTGGTTACTGTAAATTGCTTTCTGCTGTTGATTTATTATATATATATATATATTGCCCAAATTTAAGAACGAAACAACTTTAACCATGACTAAATTAGTAACTTATTTTATTTAATATTTAAAACATTATCATAAATTAACCAATTATATCTACTGTTTGATTTTTCCTTTTTATAACTTACTTAAAATTTATCGAAATTTAATTTAACTTTTCTTGCAGATATTATACCTTATTTAACATTCATTCACATTAGTCAATAGGTAGTCATGAAAGAATTTACCCAATTTACAATTATGTTGACATTATTTAAATTCAATTGATATATTCACTTAATTAAACTCGTTAATTTCATTATTTCATTTATTTGTCGCACCCAATGAAGAACGGTATAGTGTTTGTGCCCATTTTTGGCCTAAACACTATACTATATTCTGTATAGTCAATAAAATGGAATAGTTAGGAAGATTCGTTCATAAAACGATATGCTTTTATTTGATGCTTTAAAATTGGTATTTATATCACCAAAATTACATTTAATTTCGTTTTTCGGCTGGACCGTTTATATTTTCTGATTAAATATTGATTTGTCTAACTGCAATTCAACTTTGATTTAATCTAACAGTTTAAAATTCGTATATAATCTATTTATTTTGTTTGTGTGTATTTGAATTTGTTTGTGTGGTTATAGTCACTGCATGTTGCTATTATTTGTTAAGAATTACATATTCATAGTATTTGTTTCAATTGTTGATAATACATTTTAAGCAATCAAATTGTGTCGAAGAATTATCTATTATATACAATATGTATTAGAGATATAATTATAGTTTAGAATTGTTCACTTTATGTAGTTTAGACAGATTATATAATAGAGCTTGTTAAAGACTTCTCAGCATGGTTCAATGTAATATCAGTGATATGAAATTTTCAATTTTCTAAAGTTTGGATTATTCTAGCAGTATTCTACAGTGCATCGAGTTAAAAAGCTGAATTGTGTGATATATTAACAAAATGTGCTTAAATCGTTTATTGTTGAAATCTAATGAGTCTTCCTTTCCTCAAGTCAAATTATCGAAAAACTATCGAAACCATTATCGATAATTCAATCAATACCGTTTAAGGCCTGATTTAAAATATGAAAATTCACTGCCCACTATAATTTAGTATTCCTCCATAGTATTTTAGAGGAATTAAAGAGATTCAGTTTCAAACAGTACATAACTATCATTTTTTACCCAATTTCCCATCAACTAATAGGTGGTGTTTCTTATGGCCCGATGGTGAGATGGATCAAGAAAGTATCTTCTGTAAAGCGCGCGTCGCCGCGCAAGGTCTTGAGACCCTGCGTCAGGAGCATCATCGCATGATCGAGAACCTCAAGGCTGAACCCCTCGCAGATGAACCAGGTATATAATATAATAGTAAAGTATAGAATAGTATATAACGAGGTAATTTAAGTATAGTAAATATTTGATTTTTTTTTAATTAGTTGGTGTTACTTTGAATTTATTATATACGTACCGTATTCAGTTTTAAGCCATTATCCAAGTACTCAAGTAGCGTGACGGTTTCAAAAACTTTGGAACAAAGCCAAAAATTGGAACCTTGCTTGAAATCATAACACAGTAACTTATAGCACAGTACTGACAAGTCCTGGTGCTATCTTACTTACTGCAAGCTGCACTCAAGATCATTAACACAGTTCACCACATGAGAGCATGCTCCCAGTGTCTAGGGAGTAGCTAATGATCCATTGGATCTATGCGATCTCCTCGGTCGACTCAGCCGAATGATAGGAAACTTGATTGAGGGTTAAATGAGGAGGGGTACCTGTTGAAAGTTCAAGAAACTTCCTAGGGTACCCCTTCAGTACATACTTAAACATAGTACTATTAACTATTATTAACTATTAACTATGTTAACATGCTCAGACATTACCACATGATATTCAAACATGCTCAGATTGATTTTCTGCTCAGTCTCTAATCCTGTATTATAATAAGCGATTATAAGGCTAACGAACATCTTCGTACTCATTAGTTAAGGTCCGGTATCATTACAGGTTCTGGTGTAAGCTCATTACTAAAATCGGCCTTTCTGACGTGACTATTATTTTGTTCTGTCAGAAACAGTATATTCTTTTCCGTGTAGTTCATGGTCATTGATCAATTTTCATATTTCATTCACTGACGAATCATCATTATGATTTATAAATGAATCAGTAAATATTCCAAATATTCCATGGTGATTGAGCGATTTTCATATTTTATTCATTGATTTTTAAATGAGTTATCTCTACTCTTGTCTTCTTGCATGAATAAACAAATAAATAAAATCAATTTTACAAACAGAAGAATATAGATGCGAAGAATTATGCAGTTTAGAACTGTTCAGGATACACCCTGCACTGTGATTGGTTAACTAAAGTTAATATAATATACATTTAGTTATAAACATTTAATTATGCATTAATTAAATGAATGGACAACAGAAACATAGTACATAGTATACATGTGACAAAGACTGTAATAGCAAAACATGTATGTTCTTGTATGTAAATTCCAGTCAAAATATACAGTTCAGTTCATAACTTGGTTTGTTTCGCTTAATATAAATGGAATCACCATCTTGCTCAAAGGGCCGTACTTTCTTCAGAATCTGACTTCCACTAGTCACACTGCACAGGGCGTGGATTCTATTTTAGGACTAATTTAAAACGCCGTTGAACTACACGGTTTTGCAATTTCGATATTACATTAAAAAGCAGCCCAAACAGGCAGTGGGCTCCTAATAGACCATAAATAATGAGCTCTATAGATTGGCACTGTATGGGTGTGGTCCAATTCATCTAAGTAACCACGCCCTTTTAAGAGCAGGGCTGGTGTTCGAATCCACTCTAAGTTTTATAAGTGATAAACTTTTACGTCAAAATACGTCTTAATTTAATTTGTGTTAGTCAGCACTCAGCAGTTATTCGACATCTTTTATTACTTAGTTCCCAAATCTTTGGGCTCAACAAATTTGAGTACCAAAAATTTGGGCGTGAGACCAGAGATTTGGACTTGTTTATTTGTCATTAATCTAATTTACCATCAATTTAATTTATTTGCCACAAATTTAAATGCGAAAATATTCGGGCGAGGGGGCCGCCCAAATTTTTTGACACTCAAATTGTTGGGAACTAAGGTAAGCTCTCATCTCATACCCTATGTTATTTCTCGTCCCATTTTCCTATGTTTTACTAATACCTATAAGTATTACTAATACCTATAAGTAGTAGGCTATAACCTATCTCTCCTTACAGGGACGTTGGAGCATGAGAAGTTGCAGATAATACAGGGAAACCTGGAGAAGATAGAGCTGGGACTAAACGAGGCTCAAGTCATGATCTCCCTCCACACTCATGTTAACACTATTGAGGCTGAGAAACAAAAACTACGAGCTCAGGTGTGTTTTAAATTGTAGTGTTTTGATTACTAGAAGCTATGAACACAGGTTCGTTCAGTTTAGGGGAACGTTCAAATATTCCGTAAGCAAATTTCAGCCATTTTAAACCCCTTAAACCCCTTCACACAATGTAACTGAGTACCTGTAACTACTGAGTACCTGTAACTACTGAGTACCTGTAACTACTGAGTACCTGTAACTACTGAGTACCTGTAACTACTGAGTACCTGTAACTACTGAGTACCTGTAACTACTGAGTACCTGTAACTACTGAGTACCTGTAACTACTGAGTACCTGTAACTACTGAGTACCTGTAACTACTGAGTACCTGTAACTACTGAGTACCTGTAACTTGAGTAGAGGGCTTTTCCAAACCTTAACGTAATGTTTTGTGAACGACCCCTTAGTGTTTACTAGAAACTGTGAGCTAAGGTGTGTTTCATTAAAAAACACACCACTTTGTTGCGCAATATATAATTGTTGCACTATTTCATTGCGAAATAATTACACTTTAATGACGTCATATTATAATTACCTATTATTACTATTAGTGCTGCCGTTAACATGGCACGTACTCGAGAGGATTATTTACTGTTTACTGAATAATATACAACATTCATTGCATATTACGTCAGAACGTCACAGCTAGTCACAAAATATAGTGTTCCTCATATAATAAAGGACAGAAGGTGTTCCTGCATCTACTCTAACCGCTTTAAGTGCGTAAATGTATATTATATTATGTAACCAATAATCAATATAATATTATATGTTACAACTATCTCTAAATATCAGTGTTCTAAGCGAATAGTAAGTAATCCACTGACCACTAAGGGTATTATTTTCTTGTTAACCTAATTTCTGTTGGGTCCGAGAAACATTTAGTTAAAATCCACCACACTGTACAGGAGTACCACAATCCCATACTATTTATCTCTAATTGATACTCAAGTAGCAGAGTTACTCAACACTGCTAGTTCAGTTAGAGTGTAGTTACTCAACACTGCTACTTCAGTAAGGAACTGGTTTTGTAACGTCCCCCGAATTAGTTTCCCAACTCGTAACGTAAAACACAGTGTTAACAAAGACCCTAACTACTGCAGTACTAAGGGCTACTAACTATTAATAGCTCGTGTAACTTTATTATTATTATATATTATAGTAATAACGCTAAGTTTGCATACAAGTAAGTTTGTATAATACAATTCACTAATACTGCTATCCCTCCGCCCCCCCCCCCCCCCCCCCCCCCTCGCTAATACTACTTCTTGTATAATATAACGCTGTTACAGTTTTCATTGTTTGTTAACTTCTCCTCATGGAAGTAGTGAGTGGAGGTGCAGCTGTGAAAACACTAGCTTATATTAACTAGACTCTTATCTGCAACACAAACTATTCCATATACAGTAATACCCTGATTTACCGCGGAGCTTGGGAGAAAGGAAAAAGCCGCGGTAAATCGGGGCAGGAATCGGGGTTTGCAGTAAATCGGGGTTTAACTATATCTCCTTTCACTGTGTAACTGCCGCCTGAAATCGTTTGTAAAGACTATAACGAGTGTTGAATAAAGTGAAATGTTATGTTAAAATGACTGTTTAAGTCCATGTAACTGTAAGTGATGTTAGTACATGATGAATGTTTCACTGCATTGTACCTTATATCTAGAGAATTGTTAGTGATGTGAATGCTGAACTAGTAACTTGTTGTACTATGTAGAGTCTAGAATTGTTAGTGATGTGAATGCTGAACTAGTAACTTGTTGTACTATTGTACACACTACCGCGAGTAGTTAGCTTATATTGTATAATATACTATATTATATAACATGTAGCTAACTACTTACGGTAGTGTGTACAATGGTACAATAACTTACTATAACACTATTATAGTTAGCTATTGTAGAATATAAGGAACGAAAAATTAAGCTGTAAATTATCAGTGGCCACTAAGTCTCAATATAACAATACAATAATATAACAATACAATAATATAACCATTGAATTGTAGAACATTAACATTATTAGACTAGAAAATGTAAAACTTAACATTAACCATTGGTTAAACTAGTGGGCGACTAGAAGGAGCAGGTAAGTGTACACTGTACTATTTGGTAGATGTACCTGATGATAGATGATACTGTGGTTATCTCGCTATATAGATAATTAGTGTTATTAGACAGTAGTTAGTAATGATTGGACAGTGTACAGAAGTGGGTTTTATCTAGTAAGTCAGCTCTCTCAGAGGCCCTCTGTGTAGGTCAGGGGCTGGGGCGCTCTGGGGCTTGTTTATATGAGAGAGAAATTAATATAAAATGTGGTAAATAGCATATAAAATACATATAACTGCGTCATTTGTAGGTATTGACTCAATTCATTAACTCTAGTGTACTGTGTATTTGAGATTGGCATCTACTTACTTTCTATGAGAAGGAGTCCATTTGTGTCGACACGTGACAGATATTAACCAATCTGCTCATGCTGCAAGCAACGACCAATCAAATCTGCGAACATTGATCACGTACAAATGTGCAAATGTACTCCTTCAAATATACAAGATATTGGTCCTCTGTAGATTAAATGGAGATTTCCACTCTAATTTGTAGATCTACTTACTAGTTACTATTACACAGTTGTTGTATGAACTGGTAAATGGTAATACACGGTTATATATACAACAAGCTAAAATACCAAGTACACTCTACACACTACAAACACTACACCCACTGGTCACTACTGCACACTACACACACTTCACACACTAGTCACTACATACAGTTGATCACACAGTAGGATGATGACCCGGCTCATGTTTCACCACCAGAACCCCCCTCTCTCTCTCTCTCTCTCTCTCTCTCTCACACACAATGCCAACCCTCTAGGGATTAACAGATACGCTCCAGCTCTTGAACTCACAATCACTTCTAAATATTTCAAAGAACTCTGTTTTAAACGATGCATTTTATAATTCCCCAAGTGACTTGTCCTCTGTGAATCTCAGTTGTAACTAGGTTACATAGTTGGGGAAAGAGGGTAGATCTTGTGGAATTTGATAAAGCATGCCGTGGCTGGTAATTCAGATTTAATAGTAGGGTTGTCATGGTAACGTATTTGCGGTAGAATGCTCCTCATGGTCCTGATCATTTGTTGGCATATTTCCAACACGCTTTCATTAATACGGTATGAAAATATCCTGTTCCTAGAAGAGTATATTGAATATATTCATATCTTATTTAGCTGCGTTATTAGCTCATTATATATACTAGCAGGAACCCTAAAATGGTGTCAAGACTCAAGAGACCAAAATAATTATTACTTATTTAAATCGCGTTTTTGACACCACTTGGGGGTCCAAATTTTGGGGTCTAAAACTTCTATTTCTTGGCCAATTTTTTATTTTTTCATGCTGATTTGGAGGCCATTAAAGCATTTGACCCAGTCAAAAAAGTTTCAGTTGTATATATTTTACGGTTTTTGCGGAAATTTGCGTTAAAGTTGATGCCGTGGTGTCAGTAAAATGGCACAGATAAATATATATATATCGTCTCGCTTTATATATAGTAAGATGAGGTAATAAGGTGAGTATATTTAATATTATATAGGGCGGCTGCAATTAGTGAACTACCTAAGTTTCAGAACCTAGCATATATTCATATTTTAGTATTACGTATCATGTCACATCGAAATGTTTCAATTTTATGGTCACGTTTCAAAGATGTCTCGGATTTCTAATACAGAATATTATACCAGGTACTGTATGTGTATTGTGTAACATTAACAGCAGATCGACTATGATAGGTCTAATTTAATTGTATTGAACCAGGCCCTGGAGCAACGAGAACTCTCTAATATAAATAGTGAATTATTAATAACTCATCCAATGTCTCATTAATTAAATTAATTAAATACCCAGTGTCTTAATTAGCTAACAAAGACAACTGCAGAGACCTCTATTTTACGAGATCACTGATCACGATACCAGTAAGGGCCTGTGGTATTAATTAGGAGATCACAGAGTCGTAACAAATAAATCTACCTTTGATTAGTTGTTACCTGCATATTGTAAGGTCTCTTTAATCAATCACACTTCTAAAGCCAGTATATTAACGAATCCTGATATAACTGTGTCTGTTACCACGGCTCCACTTAATTTGACCTATATCTTGCTTACAATATTTTTACATAGATAAAATATGAGAAAGTTGACAATATGATATGTTAACATGTTGTGATGATAAACGTCACACTGTACACACTACATACGTCACACTGTACACACTACATACGTCACACTGTACACACTACATACGTCACACTGTACACACTACATACGTCACACTGTACACACTACATACGTCACACTTTACACACTACATACGTCACACTGTACACACTACATACGTCACACTGTACACACTACATACGTCACACTGTACACACTACATACGTCACACTGTACACACTACATACGTCACACTGTACACACTACATACGTTACACTGTACACACTACATACGTCACACTGTACACACTACATACGTCACACTGTACACAGTCACACTACATACGTCACACTGTACACACTAAATACGTCACACTGTTCACACTACATACGTCACACTGTACACACTACATACGTCACACTGTACACACCACACAGCACAATGGATCATTGGAAATATGTGGAATATACGCAGAAAATGCAGAAAATGCTGGAACGTACTGAGTACTTAGTATGTTCCAGCATACTGTTGAGTCTTGGTAAATACTAAATGTACAAGTATATAATACAAATTATTGATGTTTCTTAAAGTTACTGGTGCGTTAAAACACACAACCTGTGTGTTTCAAACAGTATCTGTGTATAAACTCAGTATAAGTAGCTGTGTAAACTTGTTAAACACTGTTACTGAGCCTTGTTACACTACTGACTATACTGAACAGTAGTGTTAAATGGAGATGACGTATCTACAGTCGGAATAAAGCTGCGTTATTGACGTAGTCCTCAGTACAATATATTTACCGTGATATTTTACTTCAATATAACCTCGCCTGTAAGATTGACGTTATATTCCCGACTAACCAGCTCTCACTCAACTAACAGAATATCCCATTAGAAGGATTTCCCGCCCCTCGCTTTTAAAAATGACGTTATCGAAAGATCATAGATAATATCTTCACCTTGTAGATTTGCTTTTAAATACTTAAATATTCATCAAAACTTCGTTCGATACTTTCCAGAGAAACCCACTATAAAACCAAATATGGAATCATTGCACTACAAAAAGGAATAACCGTCAGAGTAAAAGTTTTATAATATAAGTTGTGAGCCCACATAACATCCACTCTATTTCAGGTGAGACGGCTGTTACAGGAGAACACGTGGCTACGTGAAGAGCTGTCAAACGCCCAACACAAGCTCATGCAGTCGGAACAGAAGGTGGCGAGTCTAGAGGAGGATATCGGACAACTTAGCTTCATGAACGACATGAAGAAGATAGAAACGGAGAAGAAGGAGGAGAAGGAGGTGAAAGAGGAAGGAGAGGAGACGGTGGTTAAAGACCCCAGCGAGGAGGAGAACAATCTAGAGATAGTTCTGGGGGATGGAGAGGGCGGGGTGGACAATGTAATGAACAATGTAGATGTAGGGTCAGGGTTCTACGAGATACCCGCCCGACTCCGCACACTTCACAACCTTGTTATCCAGTACGCTTCACAAGGCAGGTATGAGGTAGCTGTACCTCTCTGTAAACAGGCTCTGGATGATCTGGAGAAGACCTCGGGACGTAACCACCCTGATGTAGCGACCATGTTGAACATTCTAGCGCTTGTTTACCGGGATCAGAATAAGTTTAAGGAGGCTAGTGTGTTGCTGAATGAAGCGCTGGCTATCCGCGAGAAGACACTGGGTGAGGATCACCCTGCAGTTGCAGCAACTCTCAACAACTTAGCAGTACTCTACGGTAAACGAGGCAAGTATAAGGAAGCAGAACCTCTGTGTAAACGAGCTCTGGAGATCAGAGAGAAGGTGCTGGGTCCAGAACATCCTGATGTAGCAAAACAGCTGAATAACCTGGCTCTGTTATGTCAGAACCAGGGTAAGTACGAGGAGGTGGAGCGTTATTATCAGCGTGCACTTCAGATATATCAGGAGAAACTGGGTCCTGATGATCCTAATGTTGCTAAAACTAAGAACAACTTGGCTTCGTGTTTCTTAAAACAGGGTAAATACCGCCAAGCGGAGTCGCTGTACAAGGAGATATTGATGCAGACCCACGCTGCTGAGTTTGGAGGTAGGAGAAGTAATGGTGTCAAGTCTGGTTCTTGGACAGACTCTGAAGATAAGGATAACGAAAGTAATGACAGTAATTCTATGCCGTATGGTGACTACGGCGGGTGGCACAAAGCAGCGCGTATTGCTAGTCCTACTGTACAAGCCACGCTCAAGAACCTCAGTGCTCTCTACCGCCGACAAGGAAAATACGATGCAGCAGAAACTTTGGAAGAATGTGCCATGCGTTCCAAAAACAAGAGTCTAAACGGTAGTGGCTTAGACCTGTCACGTGAGTCACGTGACAGCAACGTGCATGAACGTGACATTACGACCACACGCAAGGAAAACAGGAAGAGTTGTGGGGATCTGAAGTATTATGGGTCTCGTGGAGATCTGACTTCTTCTGAGACTAATAATAGTAATCTGAAGGAGATTCAGGATAAGAGGCTATCTTCTTCGATGTGTCAACTTTCATCTGCTAACGACACTGATAAGAACGGTGATCGAACCAAGAAATTAGAAAGAAAGGGTTCATTTCAGCGACTGCGGAGGTCATTTAGCGGTGGAGCTTCGAAACTGCTTGGGAAAGTGAGCGGTAAAGACCAGCTGGAAAAACCAACCGACCAAAAGGTCCCCAAATCCCCGAGATTACAGCGCGCAGCACCGCCCGGCACCTCAGCGGGGGAACCCTACTCCTACGGAGAATACAGTCCTAACTCGATACAGAGCGTTGCTAAGATGCAGCACCGTCAGTCGCTCAACAGCATGCGGTCCAGTATTTCCGGTTCAGGTCCTGTAAAGGTCACCTACCTGCCCGAGTCCAAAACATGACCTGCCCTCGAGACAGGTGTCAAAGTTGTAAATATTGTGAATTGTGGCAGTGATCTTTCGTACCCGGGATATCTTGTACAGTGCAGCGAAATTGTAGGTAGTTACTAACGGAAGTAACGTACTGGTAGTTACTAACACACCCCTCTCTGAATCAGGACACACGTGCACTACTCTTAACTGGGAGGTTTATTATGATACATCAGAGACACACTCTAGTTCTACTTGCGTAATATCACGTGTGTTATCACGTGACATACGACGTGTAGTTTAGCACTTTACCCTCGTTAAACTTAAGCTAAAACTAGTGACAATGTCCCAACGAAGTTTATATTAGTTTTGTAACATAAAGGGTTTATACATGATGATGATTTGTTTGTTGTTGACGTAAATTTATTGTTAATGTTAACACCATTATATTATTGTTCCATGATAAGATTTGTTCACCACACACACTATATCTAGTATTGTAGGGCTGTTTTTTGTTTTAGTGTAGATTTACGTTTTTGTTTCCATAATAACCACCACACCACATTATTGACGGTTTTAGATATAATAATAGTAGATGTGTCGTCTTGTGTCTCTCTTTTTGGAGATTTCTCATTTTTTGGGTACTCACTAAAAAACGGAGATTGCGATTTATGTTAAGTTTCCGTGAAGGAAAATTGATTATATTTGTGAAGGTATGCAGTCAGAGCAGACCAAACGATTGTGAGTGCACATTTATCAGTGTAGCTATCATGGCAACCTTCAATTGCGCTTTTGTATATGTATATGGAATGCTAATTTATGGTTTACGTCGAGTTTAATAATAATAACACTATTATAATAATGTTTTAAGTTGAGTAAGGGGTCGTTCACATATTACGTAATCAGCCGAGGGGGGGGGGGATTCCAAATGATTACGATAGTGTAATTTTGACACAATAGCTGTGTGTAAAACTGATTACGGAGGGGGAGGGGGTTAAAAATTGTCCAAAAAGTGATTACGTAATATGTGAACGACCCATAAGTATTGGAAGAGTTATTTGAGGCATTACGTTAGATGGGCAGCGGTGAAGAAGGCCGAGCACACAACATCTTCAATGATGTACGAATAGTGATATGTGAGTAAAATGACACAAGTGCACTATGTAATGTCAATAATGTGCTGTAATGCAATGAAGAAACCCAACAGGTTCCCGCACTTAATATCGAGGTAAATACCTAACGGAAACATGCTTGGTTGTGCTTGAATCAATATGGCATGTTAAGCAGAAGGTGTTAAAAATATTTGACTGAAATGTGCTCAAACTATCTCATCATTTGAAGAAAGCTTTAACATAATGTCTGGAGGGTCACCCGTCTGGAGATTTTAAATCATAATCATTGTCAAAATGTTATAATTGATGGTTTTTACTTGTAGCCCTTGAAAATGTGATTGTACTAGGTTCATTGACCATGTGAAGTACTAACTATGTCAATATACATTGATTGTAGATTTTTATACTGATTCAGAATTATTTACAGTCTTTTATTGCATTTTTCGTGCATTCGTACTATGGCTTCTCGCGGGGAAATTTGTGTGTTTCCGATATAAATTATAAAGAACAATGATTTAAATAATTTCAACTAAAAACCCCGTATGTTACCTTTAAAATAGAGCCTGTGATACCAAGTATGCACCAACAAACCAGTAAAAATGCCCCACTTTTCACACATATTTCTCACCTGTACCCAGTGCTAAATTAGATCAACTTTATACAAGTGTAGCAACAACGTGTGGTGCACTACCGCCCCATCACTATCAACCTCTAATACAATTACACTCCTCTGTGTTTTATTACTGGTTAGTGTTACTTAGTGTGTGTTATTTGGTAAACAGTGTTACAGTGCTGGAACTGCACTCCTTTCCATACGGGGTGTATTGTTCTGTAACAATAGTAAAGTAAGGGGAGACACACACACACAGCACTATACCAGTGTGTGTTTGATACTACTTATCTGTTGCAGGTTCATTGTACTTTTAGTACACACTGATCCTCAAATACCCAAGTATGTCATATGTGTACCGTGGTTATAATGTTAACAGCAATACAATTGTGTACAAATATAGCTTCAATAGGAATGCGCACCATATTGCATACTTCTTTACCACCCATCGTTAAAAATCAAATATTTACCAGATTCCTGAAATATTCCGTATGGGCTGACAGTCACCAGATTTTGTACAGTCCTGTAAAATGTAAGCTGGCTACTGGAAATATGACCGGTATTTCCTAGAAATGTAGAATGTAAACAATGACAGCTCGCATTCTCCAATTACAGGCTAGTTTATTGTAGTGTGTATTTCCTGGAACTAGTCATGTATAGTATCTGTGTCAACATACATTGTGCTGTGAAATGTGGAATATTTTCAAATGTAGCGTGGATTGTGAAATGTATTCTAAAATATTGAACCATATGCAACTAGCAGTATTTGTCCACTTCTTTGTGAGTTCAACTATTTAATCGGATGTTGGGTTCAAGAATCAAGTGCCAATATTAAGGAAATGTGATCTAATCATATCAGTAAAACGTTTCTTAAAATGAAAGCTGGTATCATTTGCCAAACACCCACGAATATTGAAAGTTAAGGTAACTCAGTACCAAGGTAATATAACACGTTGTTGCAGTATTATTAGATTTTAGAATTAAGTGAAATACTACCCTGTACCTTACATTACACTGTGTTTACAATGGTAAGCATTGTTTCAAATCTTACAAACATGCTTGTTGGCATCAATGTACAGATTATAATAGAGGATGTGTGCAGAACGAGGACGCAATTTTGACAGAATATGTTGATCGATATTCTCCATGATTTAAATGGCATTTTCATAATTAATGTGTTGCGTTTAATATGCAAAGGATTATTTGCCGCAAATAATTTGCGGTCGCACTCTAAGTATGAAGGTACATTGGTGGGTTGTGTTTCTAGATAATGACCGGTTTTAAATTTTTACTGTTCACTTATGTCATTTTAATGAAACTGATATATGCCTGGGTCTTTCATGACATCGTAACGGTCAATCGTCCAGAATGTCCTAGCTATCTTACGGAACGCGCGAGAATATTAGCTGATGGTAAAGTCCATATAATAAGGTGGTCAACTTGCGAACGCGCGTCATTGCATATATATATATATATATATTATATATATATATATATATATGTCATTTGATCAGTATTATCGAGAATTAAGTGCCGAGCCAGTTTTGCAATCCACCAAAATCACACCCGGGCAACAAATAGAGTTTTTTCCACCTTTGAAATCGGTGGCATACAGATCCTGAAGGACGATGTAACTCTTGCAGCACAAACCCACAGGTGCACTTAAACATTAGATTTCATGAAACTTGAGGAAATGACGGTAATGTATTGAAACCGCTCTAGGATCGTCGTTTCTTTCGGTTGACAGGGCACTGGTCAATGTTTGCCGATTTAGTTAATGCCCACTTAACGCCCGATATGAGATATCAGATCGATATCATATCATGCATAGGATCAATCGACGCGCGCGATCGCGATGCAATTTAATTAATGCGCGCGCGCAAGACTGGCGCGACAATGTCAACAAAATGTATTGTGGCGTCCGCGCTATGGTTGAAAGTTGAAGGGTCTACAGTATCACGAGTGTGTAACGCGATAGCAAGAAAACAAACTTGTTTACAAATGTTAAAGACGATAAATCAATAAAGTTCGCTAGTAAAGAATGTCCAAATCTCAATAATCTTCAGAGCAAAATGCATATTCCTAAAAATAATGCGACTCAAATGCTTGAAACAAAGTTATTAAAATCATCCCCCGTTAACTTGTATTTAAATTTAATTGAAATAAAAAAGCTAAATCATACGAAATTCTAAACATTGAATGTACTTTACATCACTGAATAATAAAAACGATCACTCAAATCAAAAACGAAAAGCAGACGTGTTTAGTGTATCCACATCAGTTGGAAGTATAGTACATCAGTCTCATTATAACTATTGGAATATCCTCATGTCATATTGGTCATTGTTCATTCTAAAGTTGAAGGATCTGGATATTGATTGAGCGCGTTTTCCAGCTTCAGTAAAATCTGAAAAAGCAAGAGGATATTAAAAAGGCGGTATCACAGAAAAGTCAATAAACGTTACAGATGCAAATAGAGAATGACTGTTATGAAAGTAAATTCACGTAATCAATGGAATAATAATAACTAAGCAAAACTTACGTTCTTATGGAAGTCAATTTGAGAGGCTATGAAACCTCTGACCATGAAGTTAAAGTCCCTGTTTCGTTCAGTGTGAAAGTGGTTTATCTCGGACATGACAGCAGCGCTAATAGTGCTGTACCGCTGTAGCACCTTCGCCTCCTCTTCCACATCCTTCTCTCCTTCTCTCTGCGTGTAGTCCTTCACCTTCTGTGCTGCTCCCTGTCAGGTTGGAGGGGTGTTTTTACGTACTATATTATGTATAATGTATATTATATATACATGTCCATGATGTATGTATTATATATTAACATAGAACGATATATTGTGAATAGGTAAGGTTTTTTTAAAGTACAACTTGAATAGCAGTATACACTATACAGTAGGTTTACTAAAGTGAACACAGTACACTGCGTTACAATATGGCCTCTTCAACTTTCTTGCGAAATTTTAATTTCTTTTCTCAGTACAGGAGCAACAATAAAACGCAGAAAACTATCCATCTGAACGATTCTGGTGAAAATTGCTAAACGACACCATCTACAGGTCCTGTAGATTCGTACAAAGCATGATTGATAAGTGCTACATTGTCCAGTAGCTGCAACTGAGAGGTAAGTTGCAGTTCTGAGATGTGAGCCCTCTTAACCTCATTTTGTACACAGGTGCAATGCAGTAATACGGTGTAAGGTAACACGCTACTAAAACACTGTTTAATATCAAGACTCAGTAGTTGCTACGTAACGTACTGGACTTCTAGTATACTGATGAATTAGGTATAAAATATACAGTACTAGCATAATATAATGTGTGAATAAAGTTTAAAATATACAGTACTAGCATAATAACATAAGGTGTGAATAAAGTTTAAAATGTAGCATGTACTATTTACCTTGTGTACATGTAACATGTCTGGAACAGAGCTCAACATACCCTGGTACTCTCGCACACTTTCACTTAGCACGTGTGCGTCATATCTCGGCTGAGGGAAAGAGAGGGTTACATTAGTGGAATTGTGCTTCGAACATCTTATACTTTCCAATAAATGTTTTTAACCCTTACATTGCATTGTTATAACTCCTAGGTCCAAATGTCTAAAGTTGTACATTGTACAATCGAGATGATTACAGTAAATTAATGTCCGTTCTGGCTAGCCCTTAAAGTTGTCAACATTCATGCTGCACAATAAAAGTGGATGAGTAATTAATAAACAATGAGTCATTACAAAACAATGTGACTATTTAATCACATGAGGCATAGAATAATAACATTGCTAGAAGTAATGTGAACGTATTCGAACATGAAATGGGATGTTGCGATCATTAAAAAGTGAACCCCCATCACATTCCTTGCTGGTAATTAATTACCCAAATGATAATCAGTTAATTACCAGTTCTCACCTGACTTTGTTTTCGCAACTAAAATTACCGGTGTTAAAGTACCTCATATTCTCCACTTTCAACACTAAATCACATGACAAATTCATCATCAATTAGCCTAATTAGCTAATTATCTAATTAGTAACTCGCCTGGTTCTCGTACACTTCAGATATCTCCTGATAACACCGCCCCGTCCCCATCAGGGCCACATTAACTGGTTTAGAGTCACTTAGTGGTCCAGTATCGTACAACTCTCCTAACTCTTTAAATATGTGACCATACTTTGAGTACATGTGCTTTATACCTGAGTTAATTATACGTGATTAGTGGAGTGGGGGTAGATTAGTTACTTTTTAAAGTGATTATTTCGATGGATAATTTGGTTATTTAATATCAATGAGTGAAGTTGAAAACATAAGAGCCTGTGAATGCGAGTACCATAGTTGTGAAATGTAAGCTGCAGACTTAATTAGATCTCTAGAATATCTATTGGTAACTACTTCAGATTTGTGGGGGGCGGGGCGGGATGCAACGACCAATTATGATCATTAATGACAATGTCAGTATTGGCAAAAAAAACAAAATAGTGACATAAATGGTCGTTGCATCCCCCCCCCCCCCCCCCCCCCCCCCCCCCATTCGTGTAAAGTTTGATAATGACAATAATAATAAGCTGCGTACAGTTATCATAATATCCAATATTAACTTTGAGTATCTCTTCAGGATATAATTTGGATCTTCAGTATTATCATACTTCCTATTTCAGTATCATCCAGCAATACAGCCTAGCTTTATTGTGCTACCCACACTGTAGTATACAATACAGCAGGATCTACATTGCTATTATTTTGTAGATTAGCCTACTCATCCTTTTACTTTTATCTCGCATCTCAATTTAGCATATCAATGAATTGTAATTAATTGTAAATCGCAGTACATATTATTACATCTTTCACTTATGTAAATCACCAACTTGACATCCTGTATTTCAAGAACTAAGACGTGTTTACACGCATTATACCTGGTTTATAATGTAAAACTGTTTATAATAATCCAGTATATTCTAACCCACTATTAGTCTACTAAACACTAGTGCACTATAAAGCTATAACACAGCTGTACAATGTAACATCTAAAGAAACACACTAGCAGCAGCCTAATAACACACCACAAGTCACAGCATGAGCAGGTATTATTGTTCTCTCTAAGTTACAAGTTACAAGTTACAAGTTTTTGGGTACTTTTTGTTACAATTTGCTGTGTACAGTTAACAGTTCTATAATATATTGTTAGTACAGACTACAGAGGAATACACAGTTATTGTTAGAGAAATATGACAGCTTAATGTCGACACGCCCACTTTTAAACAAAGTAGAATCTAGCAAAGCCAGGTGCAGGAAACCTTACATAAGTGTACTGTGTAGAAAACATTGAGTTGCAGGGTTTTAGTCATGATTCGTTCTGTGGAGAATAGATAAGGAACACTCTAGATAATCCATTAGTTGTTCAATGTTGTGACGCGAAAGAAGCGGAATTTCGCACTTAAGAACCCACAAAAATATCCAGTTCAATCAAATCACAATAAGCAAATTTAGTAAGGAAGCTGCCAGGTAAGACAGCTTGTAGTTTCTAAGTTGAGGAATGAGGATGTATTATGAATACTACATTATCTCTATATTATATCAGTCTCACAGCTTCAGAAATGATGGTCAAATAATAAAACTCAAAAGTCAGAACATACTTTTTAATTCAGACTAGTGAGTGACGAGTGAAGTGCTGGATGAGGTAGCCTAGGAGATGAGGTAGCCTAGGAGATGAGATGTGTGGTTTGATAGTGTGTAAGTGATGTTCTTTTTCGTCTGAAAGATAATGTCTGATAATCAGACTGATAGCCAGTTTATTAAAAATTCACAAAATGTAACATGGTTACAGAATAATATGTCTGTGAATTAGTGTTAAATCATTAAATGTCTTGATAATATTATTATCCGATCTGGGAATAGATCGCGTTACTCGTATTAAAGAAAGATCCTTCTCATTGTTATCTTTTTTAAATCACATAATAACTTATATAAGCAATAAAAACCACTCAGATAACTACATAATATTTACAATTATATAATTATTATAATTATATAATTATAACTACATATTAATTACCTCCAGTCATCTTGCCAGCGTAGTCCTCGTTCTGCTTCACCAGTTTGTCTAGTGTACCCTCCATTTTCTTACTGAAGGTACTGAAACTTCCCACATAACTCTCACTGCTCAGATTGTCTGTAATGAAATAATTAATTAACTCCAGTATAATTATAACACGTTTCAACATTAAAAGGCAGCTCAAAAAGTAAGTTAAAGTAAAAATAAATTTTAATTAAGTTAAAGTAAGTTTACAAGCTTAGTCAAACACAATATGAAGTATAGGTCGCTGTCCTATAATACATTGTAATACAAGGTATGACAGAAATTTCAGGAATTTAGAGCTAGAATATTTGAAGGAATCTTTACAGCTCTGCATAGCCTTGCATAAATATCTCCAAAATAGCACATATATCTCCAAAATAACATATTATATCTCCAAAATAACTGGAACTAATTTCAGTAGCGCTGATTCACACCTTCAGTCTTCACCAATCAACATAGAAATCTTAGCCATACTATGATTTGGTGATTTAATGGTTTATAGCTCAGCTTTTTCTCTTTGAGAGTTGACAGAATTAGTGTACGCTACGTCGCTACATTGCAACATTGCAACATTGCAACATTGCAACACTTGTTGAAGTTGAGGGCAGAAGAAAGGATCTAGAAGATATGACAGGTTTTAACATTACTACATTAGCACTCGGCGTGATTATTATATAAAATATAAGTGGATTAAATTATCGCTATATTGTACAATAGACTTAATAATAATAATAATAATAACGCTTTATTTGTATACCGCTTAGGCCGTATAAGCGACCAAAGTCCAAAAAATGGAGTTGATACTGGCCAACAAAGCGGTGCAGATAAATTTACCTTAGTAGTCCCTTTTCTAATCAAAAATTCAAATTTATAAATTGTAGATTGATCTTAAAGTCCTGCGTCCATGACTACTGAATCACCAAAAATACTGTTCGCACATACAGGATAGGCTTGATGAAATAGATGGGTCTTGAGAGCCTTCTTGAAAACATCTAGTCGAGAGATGGAGCGTAGTGAGTAGGGAAGTGTATTCCAGATTTTAGGAGCAGTGTGAGAGAAAGCACCAGCTGTAGCCCTCAGCCTTGATAAAGGAGGGCGTTCAAGTAGGAAGAAGTCATGGTCCATTCTGACATGATGTTTACTAGTGTCCCTAATTTTGACCATTGTCCTTAGATATTCAGGAGCACAATCGTTTAGGCACTTGAAAACCAGTAACGCTATCTTGAATTTGATTCGCATTGCTACAGGTAAGAAGTGTAATTCAATCATATAGGGTGTGATGGGCTCCTGTCTCAACTTCCCGTGAAGTCCGAATATGAATCTCACAGCAGTATTCTGCACTTTTTGAAGTTTCTGGAGAAGTCTTTCAGAAAGGGCACCATAAGTAGCATTTCCATTGTCCAGAATGGAATGAATTGAAGCGTGTACCATTTGGATTTTGAGCTCCTTACTCAGTTTGGAACCTATTCTGCCAAGATTTCGCTGATTTACATAGCAAACTCTGACAACGTTGTTGATCTGTGCCTCTAAATTGAGATGGTTGTCAAAAAATGAATCCCAGATTCTTTGCTGACTTGGTAGGTTTAATGGAGCATATGCTGTCAAGATTGAATTCAACTTGTTTTGGGGCTTTGGCATGGAGTTTGTAGAGATCTCGATTATCTCACTTTTATTGTCGTTGAGTTTCAGGTAGTTCTCACTCATCCATGATTTGATGTGCTCGAAACATTCTTTAAATTTGCTCTTCATAGATTCAATGGCCATGTCTTTTTTAGGATCAAATGAGAAGTATATCTGAGTATCATCAGCATATAGATGGATTTGGAGACCATGCATACTTGCAATATCTTGTAGCTGTTTAGTGTAAAGGATGAAAAATATAGGACCAAGAATTGAGCCCTGAGGAACTCCAATCTCGAGGTCACAGAGAGAGGAATATTCACCCTTAACACCAACGATAAAGGATCGATTTGACAGGTAGCTTGCAACCCATTGAAGAATAATACCACTAAATCCATAGCTATGTTCGAGTCGTCTCAAAAGTCTTTTGTGATTGATGGTATCAAATGCAGCTGACAAGTCAAGAAGAAGAAGAACAGTATGACTCTTCTTGTCAACTTGGAGGAGTATATCATTATGTACCTTGAGCACTGCAGTTTCACAGCTCATGTTTTTCCGATAACCTGATTGATTTGCTGCGAAAAGATTGTTCTTATTTAGGTACTCGGAAAACTGTGAGTGGGCACACTTTTCTATAACCTTGGAAATAAAACTGAGGTTACTCACAGGTCTATAGCTTTTCAAGTCGTCTGCATCTAGAGAGGCTTTCTTTAGGACTGGTCGTACTATAGCAGACTTCAGAGCATGTGGAAAATAGCCCTCTTGGAGGGATAGGTTGACTATGAGGGTGATATGAGGGAGCAATTCATCGAGACAGTGCTTGAGGAGCCATGTTGGAAGAGGATCGAGTTCACACGACTTATTATTCATCGTCTTAGTAATCAGGGAAAGAACCTCTGATCGAGTAACTAATCTGAAAGCTGTAGCAGAGCATGGTAGAGAACTATGTGTATCATTAGGCATCTCTAACTCTTTTACACAAGGTTTGTCTTCAGATTGACTATCAGCACTGGACAGGTTTTCCTCTGAGATAGACCCATAAATCTTCTTTACTTTATCGTCAAAGTAGTTTTTGAGACTTTCTGCAACTGCTTGATGCGTGGGCCCAGAAGGGGACTTCCGAGAAAGATCTTTATCCAGAAGGTTATTTATAATTCTGTATGTAGCTTTTGGATCTCCTTTAGCATCTGTAAGTCGTTTCTCATAATAGCGATTCCGTTCTCTAGAGATGATTAAGGTAGTATCTACACAAGCTTCCCTGTAGATTTCTCTATAATCTTGAGCATCAGCCATACCTTTATGCTTCTTCCAGAGTCTTTCAGCAGCTCTGCGCTTTTTACGGGCATCATTGCAGTTTTCATTCCACCAGTCACTACGACCAGGTATAAAATAGATGTTCTTAGCTGGTGCATGCTTATTAAGAACTGAGGATATAACAGAATCGTATTTGTCGACTGCGTCATCTAAACTAGTTAGCTGGGATGGAGATAGCATGTGGAGTACAATGTCAGCTTTGAAAGCATCAATATCAATTTTGCTAAACTCACGAACTGTTTTTTGTTCCTTACTTGGCTGCTTTGATGACACATCAATCTCGGGTGCACTAAACTTAACCAGGAAGTGATCTGACGTTGTGCCCGTGTCTTCCACAATTTCAAGCTCTGTGATGTTTAAGTTGTCAGCCGGTGATTCCAATGTTAGCACTAGGTCCAGTGTGCCGCCAGAGATGTGTGTTGGTGAGGAAACATGCTGCTTCAAGCCTTTTGAATGACAGAGTGCCATGAATTGTTTAGCCCAATAGTCTGGATCCTCTACATGAAAGTTGAAATCCCCTGCTAATATAGGAATACCAGATTTAGTTATCAAGGTATCCATGTAATCAGAAAACTGTTCAAGAAACAATTTCTTTCGGGTTTCTTGATATTTCTTATGAGAAGAAACTTGAGTTGATCGATAAAGGACACAAAATCTGATCAAGTGAGATTTTGCTCTGAAGACAGTTTCCAAAACCTCAAAGGAACTAAACTTCACACTGTTTCTTGTCAGGGAGACAACCTTAGGGTCATAGATGAAGGCAACACCGCCACCCCTCCCACGTCTTGGAGCACTAATAATATCATATTTGTGGTCTTTCACCTCAGCGATTTTGGCCTTATCATCAACTCTCAGCCAAGTCTCTGTCAGGAAGCATATATCCACGTTCTCTTCTCTCAGTAGCTCTAGTACAGATACCGTTTTGTTGCAAATGGATCTTGCATTAAAGGTTGCCATTTTCAGAGCATGGGGTGGACTGTGATGGTGTCCTGGTGTCACATCATGTTTTTTGAGTCATATTCTGTATTCATCATTAGCCTCTGTATCTCTCTGGCAATGATTGGACACTCCATTGATGCTGCATTATGGGACTTGTGCTGTGCTTTATCACTGGGATTCTTCGAGTTTTTGCACCTGGCACAGCACTTTGCTTCACTTTTGGACTTGTTACTGCAATCTTTAGACAGGTGGTTTCCTGAGCAGCGGAAGCAAGTTGGATCATCAACCTTGGTAGGACAGTTTGTAGAAGTGTGACCAATTCCTTGACAATGGTAACAAGAAACAACATGAACTCGATCGGACACAGGATGGCAGGTATTTCCAAAATAAAGAGCTCTTCCTTGGTCATTCATGATGCAAGATCGGATAGCAGGAGAGACTTTAAGTGCAAATGTGAAATACTTGCTATTTTCAGTAACACGTGACATGTACACAACCTCCTTGTCATAGAGATAAACATATTTGAGTACATATAATATACCAATATTATACCTAAATAAAACATTTTTCTATAACACACAAATCTAATTTTAAATAAGTAATGTAACCTAATTAATAAGATATGGTCTAGAGGGTTTATACCTGGAAGTGGGCCCTCACATTTAACAGTCATAAAAAAGCCTGATCTAGCGGTCTTGTCTGATTCTGCTTTTCTTTTACCGTCCTTCCAATCCTGGAAATAATAGTATAGTATTGTTTACAGTACACTACAATATATAGTATAGCACTATGTTTAGTGTTTACAGTACACTACAATGTGGATGTACTGAATGGGTATCCTAATATGCTCCGAAGCTGGGCCAGGGGACCAAGTAGAACCTAGTGTCCCATGACCCCCACACTGGAATTACTGGAAGAACAATCATTTTATAAAATATACAATAAGTTTGTACTATTCACAATGTATTGAACAATGAATATTAAATATAAACCAATGAACCATCTATACTGTCCTTTATCACAGTAATTACTCCACATTACTGCAATAACTTTAATGTGAAACTAACAATTAGATTAAAGATCTAAGGGACACAACAAGCCCTGTCAGCTGTGTTATATTACATAAAATGATCTGATATTTGTTATTAATAACTGCGGCGGGGTGTAAATTCTACATTAGCCCTTTCTTAACATTTGTGAGGGGATGAGCAGTGCACACTCGTACAACTTTATTTAACGGGAGAATAAAAGTAGGCCATCTTACTTTTTAAACCCCGCGGTAAGCTATATACTTAAGACAACAAATCATCTTGTTTTCAGGTTTGATAGTGTCGAAAATTTTCTTTTAGAGTACCTTTTCAAAATATATCCTTGTGTTAACCTTATCGTCCTGGCACTTAAGAAAGTGGTTGGTTACGTTGCAGTTGGAGATTATAGGATGTCTTCCAATCCTGTTTAAAAACAGTTCCAGTTTGTCTCTCCTCTGTTCGATGAAATCCTGCTGGTATTTACCTGGCAGAGAGATTGATTATTTACGTTACATTTATTTTAATTTTGGTTCAATATGTGGAATACAGTATGTGGAATATGTGTATGATGATATTATATAGGAATCTAGTTTATGAGATCTTCAATTTATTGATCTTAAGACTTTAAGAGAAAATCCTCAATAAATGTAATTATTTTGTAATTATTATTTGACATTTTGGTAAAATTCTTTAAAACCAATTAACTAAAGATAAGCCTTATTATCTGAGAGATTGAAACTAAATGACACTATATTCTATAAAGCCAGTATAATATCCAGATGTAACACTGCTCTGGTATCTAACAACCTGGACCTAGCAAGATGTAGCTCTTTTAGTCTAATTACCTTACACTGTTTACACCTGTTTCATATACTAAATATAAGCCAATCATTCCAACAGAGCATGTCTAATTTGCAACATTGTTGTATCAATAATGAGTCTAATATTGCGTGATTTAATTGTTAGCCTGCCCTTGTAAGCTCTTTTAAAATAGATCAACACTAAATAACACATAATATTATAACACATAATATAACACTACAAAAAACATAGTACTATTAACATTTTACATTCAGTGAGAGATTATATGCTGGCGATATTGATATGAAACTAAACCCTAGACATATAATAATCATAACCTCATTTGCAATGAGAGCATAATTATTAGCTCAACTCTCAACCTAACCGATCATTAATTAATCATTATTATCTAAACTTATTGTAAATTAGCGTCACATTCTTAAAACAGCCCACATAGTTAGAGAGTGTGTTAATTAAGGTAGCGTGTGTAGTGTGTGCGTGGTAGAGATGATATTTATTAAACACGCTGTGATGTGATTATTTCATTGCCCTGACTGTATACTGTTTACTGCTCAGTATGTAAGAGCAGCATGTAGAGTGGTCAGGGTTGGGACGGAGTGGGGTTCATTTGAAATTTATTGAGTACGTCTTGTCCGTGAAAATCTAGATACTAGAAAGCCAGGGTAATACTATTAACCCTTGGCCTTATCATACTGGGGGTGGGTTGATTCGTCCATCCCTCCCGTTCAGTAACAAATAAATGTTACTTAATAAATTTCAATTTTATTTTGACTTATATGACTTTTATCAGCATCATCTCCTCTATCAGCCATATTATTTTTATCAACAAGTTTCAATCGGCCGGAGAGCTATTAGCATAATTATGCCGAAATTGCTTCATTTGAGTGCAATTTTTGCTCTCTAGCCTATTAGTGATTTTGCTTCCTATATTAGAGCTGAACACGTGGTATACTGCGTCACATCACGTGATACAGGAGCTCTGGGACAAAATTGAGGTTCCTAGTGAACGGCATAGTGGGTCTAGCACTTCACCCTTTCATGCACGTCAATGGCTAATCCAATCAAGCTTACACTCAACTCAACACACTTGAGCTGACCGCTTGAACATCTATAGAGCTATAGTTTACGAGAAACAATATGACAAATCTGAAAATTTGAATAAATGTTTCAAGAAATTGTTGAAATAATGTTAATTAGTAGAAGAACCAATGGCAACCTAAAGTTTGGATAAATAGTTTCAAGGGGGCTATATTTATGAGTCGCATTTGAACTTGATTTTTTTTTTTTTAATTTCTTTCCGTCGTTAATTTTTACACATGTTTAACAATTTTATTACAGAACTGAAGAAGACGTTGTTACGTGGAATGATTATTTCAATTCAATAAAGTTTCTAGCCTAAAGTTTGCTGCTTCAATTTGTTCGCAAGTTAAGAGTCTAAAGAGAAATTCTCCAAGAGAAATCAACCTAAAGTTTATGTATCTTTTCGACCCTCTATTGAAAGGTTTTATTGTTAGCTAGTAAAAATATCTCCAATTCGTCTGAATGTTTAACTTCAACTGCAAGTGTTGTTGTAAATTATTTGAACGGGTTACAACAACAATAACATGTACCTGAAACGTCAAGGACACTAACGCTCGAATCGTTGAATTCATGAAAAAACTTAATCCTGAACTTCTTATGAATGACAAGTACACAGGTACATTAGCATAACTGACAAGGTTGAGATGTGTGCTTTCATTGGCCTTATCTACTTTCGGGGAGAGGAGCTGCCCTTGACGGTCTGCGGACTATTTACTCACTTTCTGATGGACTTTCCAGCATTTCCTGCGGTGATGTCCAGGAACAGATTCTTCTTTCTGTCGACGAAAATAACATTCGAAACCAAAGAGATGCGACACGATAGAGCAGAGCATTGGAAAAGAGACCGGTTCACGGCAATTTGCGAGTTTTACGAATAGTGCCAAGCTAATTTCGCCACGGCACTAATACCTGATCAATACCTCACAATTGATGAATGCCTGTATCCGACTAGAAAGCGCATCCGTTTTCTCCAGTACATAAAGAGCAAACCAGCAAAGTATGGTATTATCTTCAAAGCACTCAACTCGGTGATATACCCGTGCACCTATCAAGCCCATTAGACCTTGCCTGTGCCCTCTTCATTCCTACTATTAGGAACAGGTCCTTGCACGGCCTTAGCACCTGGACCCTTACCAACTGCTACCTACTTAGAGACCGAAGACCCTAAGTTTCTGAGGAGTAAGGATCATGATACAAGTCGTGACCCAAACACACCATTACTTCCCTTGGTGAGTCCAGGTCTGCCTAGTCGGTGTGTTCAGTGTGTAAAGGACGCATCGCAGGACCTGGTTACAAGAAGAAGGTCTGCGGTTTGTCGAAGGTCAAAAGTCAGCGTCAAAGTTGTGGACTTAGAATGTGCACGAAGGTTCATCTTATTTCATAATGTGACTCGTGTAAATGAACCATTAATTCTTTCGTACGAATACTCATATCCAAATGTTATATATTTTTTACACTGATTATGATCGAAAACTTGACTTTATTTTTAAATTTCGTTTGTTTGAGTCTTTCCTAAAATGTATCTACCTTGATAATGAAATTTGGAGTAGAGTCGCATAGTTCACAACTTTCAAATTCACACACATACACTCATGTTTGCGATTGACCAATCCCTGCAGCGTTCTGCAAAATTTAACTTAATTTATAAAACAAGCACTCCTTATACGGGCTGATTTGGGATGGGTTGATTCAACCCATCCCCAGTATTCTAGGAGTAAATCGGATAAACAGTCGTTTCTTAGGGATGGGTTGATTCAACCCACCCCCAGTATTCTAGGAGTAAATCGAATCAACAATCGTTTCTTAGGGATGGGTTGATTCAACCCACCCCCAGTAACCTGAGGATTAATTAGATCAACAACCGCTCCTTATATGGAGATCATGGATCACTTTGAGGCCTGTATCATGTGATAAACTTGTGATATCCCACGTGATTTCTCAATTAACACAGGAGACTATCTTGTGCACTTGTGCACTATCTGGCCCTTTAGAACATAATGAGTCTTGTAGAACTAAGTATAACTAGAGCATTCCACTTTTTGTGGTGGCTGAATACCGTCTAGAACCAAAGTTATTAGGGATGGGTCCTTTCAACCCACCCCCAGTAATGAATGAGCTCCACGCACCCCAGTATGATAAGGGTTAAGACTGATTGTACTGACAGAACACGTCATTTTATTTCACTTCCTAAGTTCTAAATTATTATTTCAGTATTAGCTCGGGGAGCATACATGATAATACAGCCTACTTACAGATAAAACAGTTACTTTTAATTACCTTCCAATCAACACGTCACACAGAAAAATGTTACAGAATCTACTCATTGTAAAGATTCACATCTGTTTAATCACGCGTTTTAATTAAGTAATTAACCAGTTATTGATCATTGTAACGACTAAAATGTAGATGAAAAACAAGTCACATCCTTTAATCTACCATTATTATCTAATCTATGTAATGTCCATCACAATAATAAATAGATTATAAAGCACCTAACAGGTAAATAAAGGTTATTTAAAATTATTTAAATTAATTTAAGTTTATTCAAGTTATTTAAGTTATTTAAGTTATTCATAGTTATTCAAAGCTATTACCCTGCACTTACCTACGACAGCTTTCTCAGGTAGGGGTGGAATAATAAAACAAGGGAACTTCTCTGTTAGTCTACCGTGGAACCAATCAAACTGCTTGTACCTGTCAGACAGAAGTGGAAACTTAAGAAACAAATTAAATACATACTACATATTATTACATAGGTACCTCTTATAATATAAATACAGGTACAAATAAGTATGATCCTAGCGGACGAGAACAAGGAATGTTAAATGTACCACCGGGCACCGACAACATTATACCAGGTTGAACTTTATACCAGGTTGAACTTTCTGGTGCAAAACCAAAATTCAAAAATCCTAAACATCCTAACCTTCGTTCAACAGTAAGATTGGTAGTATTTGGTGTTATGTGATAAGACATAAAGCTCTTCATCCCTTTAAACTTAGCTTTCTTGATTGGCTCTGTTATCTCCACGGCTATTATCTGGTTGGGCTGCCAGCACAGGTCTATGTTGTTTGGGCACTGGGGGACACTTGTTTAACTAGCTTTACATGTGAGAGGTAGATAACATCTTGGTTGCCATGCTAAAACGGAGGAAACACACAATACACATCCCTGGTCTGGTAAGCGGTCAGAATCCCTATCCTAATCAGCCAATCAGGGTATTGGATACTTAAGTACAAGTAAGTAGGTAAGTAAGTAAGTAAGATACGGCGCGGCGATGTGATACCCTTTGTATCCATGGCTTAATCTGTCTAAATATCACATTGTTTCACTGTTGAAGTCCTGATTATTTGCCACAATGATTGGGGGGGGGGGGGGGGGCTGGTTTGTAAACTCACAATAATTGTAATAGTATCTGATTCAGCTATCTGTTCTTTATCTTTACCGAGAATAAAGTCTTCTGCTCCACTTTTCACGTAGGGTGTAAATCTGGGAAATTACTCCACTTTAATATTTAATTTTATTTAAATTTCGGATTTGAGTGTGGGGGTGTCCATTTTCCAACCCCAAAAGAACCCTACCCCAAAATAGGAATTTGAGGTAAAATGGGTTTTTTTGGGTTGGATATAGTTTTTGCGACAACGATAATTGTATGACATATCATAATGACAAAAACAATTTCAACAAAAAATTGGATACATAATAAAGCTTGCGATGTAGTCACGAGTATTAAAGTAATGTAATAACTGGTATAACGGAAGTCACGAGTGTAAAGGAGTGAATGTAGTGTGTAGTTTGTATTAGCGAGAGTAGTGTGTATTACAAGTTAATGTGTATAAGTTAGTGTGTATTAGTAGTAATATAAGCCGATTAGTACAATCAAATCAAACATAATATTGATCATGATTCATGGTTTACACATTTTTAGTAAAATGTCTATAACATAAGTAGTAGTAAACCCGCGATGGGATGGCAAGAACCTCAATAAGATATTACATCGATACTAATAATCTCAAGATGTGTGTTAGCGTGTGTGTTCGCGTGTAATTTCCGAACGGCTTAATCAAGAAAATGGTAAGAGATATGGGGCTGGTTTTTTTCGGCATAGTGCCAAAAAAACTCTAACGAAGCCAAATAAATAAGGTTTTTCAAATCGGTCGCTGGTTATTGGTTTATTGATTATTTTGCATTACTATCAAATATATGAGGGGCACTCAGAATTAAATTCCGGTGTGTTTTGACAGACCGAGTTCATACTTTCGCACCGTTTTAACTACGAAAATGTAATGCGTGTTTTCAAATATGAGAATATAAAAGGCGGGTTTATATTTTGCATTTCAACTGCAATAATGAAGTCCCGGCCGTAGGCACGGGTTGCACTATTACATTAATTATATTATGATAATCATAATAATATTGTATTTAAACATAAGTGTGGCAATGAAATATTGAAAAAATGCACTTAACAGTGTACACTATACAGCCGCTAATTTGATGGAGAAATTGGTTGAAATTCGACACTATGGTTGGTGGTACACATTTTTTAGGTATCGTGTAATTCATGTAAGACCACGAAAAACTGTCAGTACAATATTTGTGATAAAAAGATAACGAGTACGTATACAATTTTCTTTATTCTACGTACTCATATCATAGTTTTAAACATTTATGGTAAAATGCGAAATTCCCCCTGTAGGAGTATACGGTAAAAGCAAGTATAGAATTACATCGCAGCTTCACTTTATTAACCGAAGTGCGAATATTCAGAAAATAATAGGAAGTTAAATGGCAGGCAGCTCTAAAAATTTGTAAAGATAAATTAAGTTATGTTTAGTGTAATTCCCAAGGTTTGGTTATGTTGCTTTATTGGACTAATTCCAACAGCAGCAGCAGAAGAATTTATTGAAGTTTCTATCACACAAAGCAAATTCTATTATCATGTCAAACTGTAAACACAAGTCCAGGAGAAGAGGGAGGAGGTAGAAGAGGATCTAATAAGAAGGAGGAGGGGAAGAAGGAGGTATAAAAGGAGAATAAGAAGAAGAAGGAGGAGGAGCAGGAGCAGGAGGAGCAGGAGGAGGAGCAAGAGCAGGAGCAGGAGCAGGAGCAGGAGCAGGAGCAGGAGCAGGAGCAGGAGCAGGAGCAGGAGCAGGAGGAGGAGGAGGAGGAGGAGGAGGAGAGAGAAGAGGAGGACGAGGACGAGGACGAGGACGAGGAGGTCTACACTAACAGTTGATAACGCACCTGTTCATACTCTTCTTCATTGTGTTAGATCTCTGGTGCTGAGCTGCTCTAGACTCGTCGTCCACGTCTAAACTGCGGGTAATGTTATTATCAATAAGTGTGGACTGTGGGGGAGGGGGGCCGGGGGGCGCGGGGTGTGTCACCCAACACTTGCTACGCAGGCACTTTAAATTCAAGAAGTTAGAGAAAGGGAATTGATTAAATTGCTCTCAGCGTCTAATTTCCACTGACAACACTAAACTCCAACAATCTCCTACCTGACACTAGGCCTAGTCTGCCTGCTGTGTTGATCTTCATCTGAATCGTAATCCGACCACTCGTTATCACCAGGAGCAGGCTGCCCTACGAACTGTACCCCACCAGGAGCAGGCTGCTCTGCGAACTGTACCCCGGTATCTGCTGGTGGTGGTGGTGGAGGTTCCGACCACTCGTCATGAACTGGGCCTGGGGGCTGAATATTTACTGTTACATGGACAAGTAGTAGGGCAGAGGTTTGACTCCGGTTAGAGGACAGTATGATAGGTAGCAGGGGGATGTGTGCAATCAGCCGAGCTATGAACAACAAATTCCCAGAAGGATTCTGTCGCTTGTCAGAACAAACGTACGCCACGTCCCAAATCACAATATCAGAAGTTAGTACTTCATCTCACAGTCAGAAGATTGGACGTGTTAGTAGAACACAACAACATTGTTACCTGCATCACCTCGTATTCATCATAGTCAATGTAAGAAGCAGGAACTAGACCCTGTTCTCCGTTCTCTTTTACTGCCTCTACCCAGCCTTCACCCACATCCTGAACAAGATACTGTCAATACACCCTTTCTCCTGTCTCCTAACGTCATACAACTTTATATGCTGTAGGTACTCAAAATTAAAATTAATTTTACCCAATTTGCAGATAAGTGGAATCGTGGAGCTTAAGAATTTTAAGGCACTAGAAAATACCCACTTTTAACGGTTAAATTGCTAATAATTCAATCACCTAAAATCTGAAAGAGTTAAAATTAAAGTCGCAAAAATAGTTTTAAGAAGATATGTATTAATAATTTATATCCTGACCTCGCAAACAACAGTAACAAGTTCATGTTCGTACACCGTTATCTCATTGTTATCAGCCTGACCCTCAAAGTCGTATATTACTCTGGCAGGAATAGCGGTTGTAGCCATTACCCTAGGTTATATAGTTTGGGGTTAGCAGGTTAACTTGGGGAGTCAGATTAATAATGCTCACTTTATGAAGATTGATAAAGCTGTGTTGTGGATGTGACCGGGGGGGGGGGGGGTTTTCCACCATTTTTCACCAATCTGCTGTACAATACATGAGACAAATCAGTCAAATCAGTCAAAATGTTAATTTAATACTGAAATGTTAAGTATCAATTATATTACTATAAATTGATACGTTAAGCTACCATAGCATTCGAGCAGTCGCAAATATTGAACTGAACATACCATATTAAAAAGGTCATCATACAATTAAATTAAAAATCAAAGCTATCGGGATAAAGATGATTCTGTCACGATTAATATGAAGAATAAAAAACTGAATATTGTTATGTGTTTTATAAAATAGTATACAGTAAAACCCCGATTTACCGCCATTTAACATAATTTAGACCTTGAGTTACTTGCTACTCTGCTGTCAATTAAGGAGAGAGAAGTCAGAGAGCAAAAAAATCGTTTTCTTTAGCTAATTCAAATCTTATAGAGGACCCCTAATCTTTTTATTCCGAGTTCAGCACTTGTCTGCTCATGATTCAAAGCAGTATTATAATCTTGGAATATACCAAGCCAAGACAATGGATAAAGATATGATATACCATTACTATGTTGTATTACACAATAAACATGCATGTTTTCTGCCCGTATCTCCTCGTGAAAGTGAAATACTCCGTTGGCATAATCCTCTTCCTCAGTACACAGCTCCAAGGCCCTCACCCTGCGATAGTCGTTACCAGCGACAGTTTTTATGATAAATCCACATTCTCCTGGTAGATTACATGGAGTCACAGAGGGATGCTTGAAATGGAACTTCCCCATATTTTGTTCACTTTGTGGGCCAATTGTATCAGTACAGGAGCTAAAACTTTCCAGGGATAATATTGAGACATAGGAACTCGTCTGTGAGCATAAGAAACCTAAATCTGTTATTGCTTGCCAACCAAAAAGAAATAACTGGAGAGCTGATAAGACTGAGGGTAAAGTTTGCCAGCTTCGTCTTTTTCTTAATGCCTCTAGTCTATTCTTCGTGGATTGACGGTCATAGGAAGCCAAATTGGAATGATAATTACTATGATTATTCCAATGCACAACTGCTTCTACTGCCATCATCAAATTAGTAACTACCTCTGACACAGACAACCACTGGAATAGCTGTTCTAACGACATGTAAATGTCAAATGAGTGATACAAGTTTGGTATCAAATTACATCTTGGCAAGGGTGTTAAACTAGATCCTCCAGCAGTGACTACGATATTTTGATTTGGTTTCGGTTGTGGCTCTATAGCTTGATTAACAACAACTGGTACCCTCATTTTGGTAGATCTTCTCAGTAAATTGTGAGTCCATCTCAGCATATGATCAGGTAAAGTATCCAGAACATCAAATAGTTGATCAAATGCAAATCTGTTATTTTCTCTACAAAGTAACAAATCGGAATTTTCTAGCAGATACTGACAGTGATTAGGAAGACCATGTTTCAACACAAGTTCTGAGAGTTGACTCGTCAGTTTCTGTACAACAAAGTTCACTTCAGTTCCAGCTAATTCTATTACAATATCTAGCCTATGTGTGGACAATCTGTCGGCGTTATCAAGATACTTGTCTATAAACTGCTGCTTGACTTTTAGCATTTCGATCTTTTTTAATGCTACTGTCAGGAAATCCTTTGTTTTTAGACTTTCCGAAACAAAAGCTGCTTCCTCAAACAAGTAGAGTAGTTCGGTATAGGACGGTGTCTTCACCGAGTCAGCAACTGCAGTAAAATAACCAGCACATTTTTCAATCAACCAAGACACCTCAAACACATTCGCCATCTTGTTAATGTCCCTGAATAGTTCCCGGGAAATCCCCTCTGCAGTTCCGGAGTAAGCAGCGTCAACGAACAGCTGAACAGCAGCTTTACCAAACTCCAGCATGTCCACACTGGTCATGTGGAGGGTGGTTGTCATGTGATCAATGACTGGACTATTGAAAGAGAGGATCACAGAACTGGCAAGTACCTCACCTCCCTCACTTGTGTTCAGTTTCATGTTGCTGTGAGTAGGGGATCCTATCAGGTGCCTTCCAAAATCCATCGGGACACAAACTTTAGGAGCCATATTTTACCTGAAAATTATGTAAGTTTTAAGAATAAGGATTTAATGAAAATCTTTTGTTGATTCGAAATGTAAAAAAATGAGAATTATACATGCTTCAAAGTACATAAACCTTCCATCTTTACATATTTGTGCATGTAAATTTATCATAATTAGTTCTACAGCCGAGAGATAGTCTTCACTCTTCTCTCTTACGTAAGGTGATTCACCAACTTGGCTGACATAATTCCAAAATACATGTTGTCTACGGAACAACAGAGCCTACTTTGTTTACACCTGCTACCTTGCTACATGTTTTTGTTTTCTCCTGGCTCCCAAAACAACCATGAGGATCTAGAAATTTCACTAAAGTACAACGTCACCGACTAAAAGGAGGAACATCCCACAAATAAAGATGTCAGAGGAATCAGAGGAGGAACTAGAAAGACTTTACGAGGAAATCAGAGGGAGGAGAAGTAACAGAGAGCATCAGATATACGCTAATGTAGCAGGGGTGACAGGAAGCAGTGTAGATGGCAGAGGTGCAACTAAGTCTGCTATTGGCAAGGTTGGTTGGGCTTACATTATTTTGATTTAGGATTTACAAACAAGATACAAAAGTTTTTAAATTTAGAGTTACAAATTTAGAGTTTTAGAGTTATAAACTTGAATGCAATGGTCTGTGAGCAAAGATCAGGAACACGCTGTAAAATACAGTAAGCTTCTGTAACAAAATTAGATGTTTACTGACAGGAATTATCTTGAATTCCTAAGTAATTATGACACATAATTATGACAAGTTTGCTGAAATATTGTCACACAACTACGACAGTACGACGATTGAGTCTAATGAAACAAAGAGGATATAAATGGACATAAATGTGTGTAGCGTGCTATAGTTTATAAGTCTCGTACACATTAATTCGTCGATCCTTGTAAAGTTGTAATATTTTATAGCCATTAACTTTGAAAATTAAATAGCATCAATTTGTAAAACGTCGTTCTTGCCAATCTTACAAGAGATATGATTTTTTTAAACGCATTAATGAAATCATATCTCTATTTACAAAATAGCAAAATAATTCGTGAACCTCCAGATGATGGATCAGTTTGTAGAAGATTCGTCAGAAGAAGACGATGAAGAGGAAGACATTTGGTCGAAGAACAACAAGAAAATAATATCTTCATATGTCAGAAAAATAGCTGAGCCCATAAATGAACCGAGCATTGATTTTTCTAAATCATTGTTGAGCCTGGACAAAAGACACAACGTTATGAAGCACATGGTAAAATCAATGAACAGAAAGGACATAAAGTGGATTAGAGACAATTTCATGAGCTCTTTCTGTAAAGTTTTTGTCCTGAACGAAGAAACTGGGAAGTGTTACTGTGGGAGGTATCAACAGGAACACAGAAAGACAGCTCTACTTCCTGCAGATGAGGAGGGGAACAGTCCGCTAGAGTGGAGCAGGGAGCAGTGTATTGGGAAGGAGCCCACTAATGGCTTAGGACGGGTTCTTTTTGATGACGAGGACCACTTTGCATCGAGGTAAATGTGATTAGAAATTAATTTACACTGCCTTAATTTATTTACCTAATTGAACATGATTCTTTATTTTTAGTTCATACAATCTAAATACATAATCGATTCGGGATTTTTTTAAATTTATGCATAAATTTTCAGATACATTCGATTGTCGGACGACACACCACAAGAATTGGTATTCAGGTTACTCAAAAACAAGTGGAAAGTGAACAATCCTGGCATGGTTGTGTCGAACTATTGGTAGCTTGGATAACTTTACTATAAAACGTGAAGTAAAAAGTTTAATAAAACATGGGATCATTAAAGCAGTAAGTTTGAAGGCACATTCAATTAACTCAAAATTTATGAGTTGAACTTTCCCTGAGCGGTTATCATGAATCAACCTTGCTGTCACACAAAACCGTCCAACCGTCACAACCTTCTTTCTAACTAGCCTATTATTTTTGACCTTAGGTCAGTAAAACAACTGGGTGGATCATTTCATCAGGCTTAGACAAAGGTTTCGTGAAGGTCATTGGAGATGCTGTTCACCAATATGGATATCCATTCCCTTGTATTGGAATAACACGTGAGTGCATCTATCAAGTTTTAATAAAAGTCATTGTCGTGTTAGACTGATGGAGGACAGAAAGCTGTGGAGAACTGTTGTCAATGGATCTCGGGAATACTACCCGCCTTAAGTCTAGTCTAAGTCTAAGTTGTCATTTAAACGTTCACTTATTGCGATGGAGGACTTTGATTTAAAAAACCTAAGAAACCAAGATGCGTAAATGCCACCCAACATTTTTCTACATCAAAGTTGACCTTAATTTTAGCTCATCCTTGTACTATCTCAGATTGGGGATCACTAGAGGACAGGACATACCTGGAGTCTAAAGTATCCTTGTTTGAGAGAGTCAACTATTTAAAGTACAATCAAAACAATGAAGGTCAACAAACAGAGAATAGATTGGAAACTCATCACACCCATTTCTTTTTTGTTGATGACGGTATGACTGCTGGAGTAACTAACATGGACACTGAGGAACAGTTCAGAAAACGTTTTGAACATTTCATATTGGAGGATCTCAGGACTCCTATTGTAGTGGTACTATTGCAGGTTCACATTTTTGTTCTTTTCCGAATCATCTTTCAGCCCTATAAAAATTGAAAATTAAATGTATTTTATGTGAATGTTAAATTATTACGGATGTCTTCACGTTGCTAAACAATTTAGAAGAATACCTTGTGCCCTTCTGTAATTCACATCGCTGATTTTAATACAATCACGCACTAATAATGTTCATTTAAAGGGAGAGGTTGACGCATTTCAAAGAGTGTCAGAGTGCCTTAAAAACAACATACCGGTAATAGCTACAATAGGTCATGGAAAACTAGCAGATTTTCTAAAATTTGTTGTCGATCATTTTGGAACAGCAAAACCTACACCAACAACTTCGGAAACTTCTTTAAAAGAGCATCATGAAAGTCATGTTTGCCTTTGTGCTCTAGATCGAACAAAAGTAAGCAGTTGTCCTGATGTGAAATATCAATTACAAACGATGTTTGATGATCGTTCAAAGACAGAGCTGGAACATTTTCTATCAAGTCTCTCAAAGGTAATTACAATTTTGGTACAAGATTTTATAGAAAAACATACATTGAAATACAAGCTTATGTTCCTCATGATTATATAGATTTATACATTAAAAATATCAAACCATTTTCAACAGGTTTCACAATTGCTGGATGGTATGACATTCTATGACGAAACACAGCCTTTTGATGGGGCAATATTCCAAGCATTAATGAAGAAAAACAAATCAAGTTTAAGAAGTCAGCTGGAACTTGCTTTGAGATGGGACAGGTAGGAACGGATTGTAAAAATCCACCCCTGTTTGGGTGCAGCTATATTTTACCATTTCTAACTGAGTAAAGTCGATAAATGCCTTTTTAGGAACTTTTGCAAACATATTTACCCTATTTACCAAAGTTAAGTTAGTTTTGATAAAAGTTTAATGAATTGCAGATTGGAAATAGCTCAGGACATAGTTAAGTTGCACAACACCGCATCCCCAGAAAGCCAATATGCTCTCTCACTGACTCTGTTCAACAGTATAGTAAATGATAGACCTCATTTCGTTGAATTCCTACTCAACTCTGGTGGGGATATGATTCAAGTTCAAAACAACATCGATGGAATAATCAGTGAGTAGCGTGACTGTCAACAGCTTAAGGTTCTTATTTGTACATACTACATAGTGACGTGCCCCAGAGACATGGTGATTGAAAATATGATACCGTGTAAACGTGTAATATTGTACAACAGTTTTAAACTAATTACAACACTACAAATCTATTACATTTATTGAGGTATGACCAAAATGACCAACATGACAAAAATGTAATGTAATTGGAGGTATCAAATCTATTCAATAAACTTCAATCAACTTCAATCGACTTCAATCAATCTTTTTATCTACAACCAACTCAACCAACTCAACATCATGAACGATTCATTGGAAACATTTTTCGGCAAATTATTGATGGAATGTGATACAAAATGTAAAAACTGTTCAGATCTTGAAACTCGCGTGAAGTTTCTGGAGCGTAAAGTGTTCATTTTAGAGGAGATTGTTCAAACCTCACAAACAATAGCAGAGATTAATGAAACTATTTCGCCTCAAAGTGGAAACCAATCAATTGCTCAATACAAGTGTTTCGATGTATCAGTGCAAACGGACTCCAGCAACAATAACATTCAGTATGACAATGAATGTGAGGTACCAGAATCATTTTTGTTGATTGATGATGATGGCTATGTAGAAGCACCTCTATCAATTATTTCTAACAACATAGACATTTCAACCAGCGAGATTACAGACACTGGCTCAGTTATTCCAAGAAGTGGTGAATATTATGCAGGATTAGATTTAACACCTGTGTCAAGTTCAGACCTTACTACAGACTATGAAATCCCTGATATCGCCATCACACCTGTTGAACTTATTGAACAGGCACCATTCGGCAAATTTTCTGTTGAAATCTTATTTGAGGAATTAAAGTTCAGCCACCACTTCCATAACAGGAAATCAGTCTACTTTGGGAAACATCCTTACGTGTACAGTGGAGGAATGCATGACCCAAAGAAGATCCCCCAGGGATCTTACATGGCAAGTATATGTTCCTTTCTAGATGAGCTATTCCCAGAATACAACTACAACAGTGTTCTGGTCAATCTCTATGAATCTGGAGAGGAACATATGCCTGCTCATAGTGACAATGAAGAATTTATTGAAGAAGATTCGTACATTGTAACAGTGTCCCTTGGTGCTTCCAGGATGATGCAGTTGACTGAAATCAAAACAGGACAAGTGGTGACTTCCCTAATTTTAGAACATGGAGATGTATGTCTTATGTCCAAAAAGTCCCAACATCAATTCAACCATGAACTATGTCCCGATCCACTATGCACAGACAAAAGGATCAGTTTAACTTTTAGACTTATCAAACCAGTTGTCTGCAGTCAACCAAGAAAATCACCTTCTACAGCTAGTGGATATGTACCCTACAACGAAAGTGAATTTGAAGTCCACCATTCCAGAGTTCAGAGTTCAGCCAAGTCAACTGCAGCGCCTCCTTCACCTGAACAGATCCCAAGTGACCTGCCAATTGATACCATCTACATCAGCAGCAGTATGTTCAGGGACCTCAACGGAACTCTACTAAGTTCGAGGAAGCAGAAAGCTAAGGTGTTCTTCTACCCTGGAGCGAACTCTGCTCAAATGTTAAATAGGCTGTTACATGATGAGGAGTTCAAAAAACTGGACAAAAAGGATGTAAAGCGTGTTTTCATACTAACAGGCACAGACTACGTAGATTCTGTCTGTAACAATTATATTTCTATGAAAAATGCAACAGAAGGAATTGATCAAATACTTAGTATACTTTGGGGAATGTTTATTGGAGCAAGAATTTCAGTTATAAATATTTTACCTAGGAACAGTTATAACAAAAATGAAGTTATCAACGAATTAAATAGGTTTATTTCTAACACCTGCTCTAGCCATGGGTTAAATTATATAGATTTAGAACGTACCAATAGACTATTTACCAGCCGAGTTACTGGAGTAAGGAAACAGGTATTTTTCAAAAAGGGAATAGATAATGTTCACCTTAATATCAAGGGAATCGCCAGGTTGGCGAAACATTTAAAATATTTATCCCACAATGAGCAAACTTAGTCTCTCCATTCAGATTGTAGAAAGTTCTGTAGTTAAATGAGTATTTGATACTTTTATCAAAGAATCACATTTTAAATTATTAAGTCACAAATAAATCAGCATGACATAAAACTAAATGTCATGAATTTTATTTAAATTGCTTGAAGAAGAAACGTATAGATTTGTCCTCCTTTTAACTTTATTATTACCACATTCGTACCTCAATAAACGATAATCTCTCTCTTGGTCTATGTAATATACAGGGTGGCCTGACTAATCTGGCAAAAACTCTCGAACTACAGGAGCTAATATTTCGCGAAAAGCTTGACATAATTGGAATTAATGAGACAAACCTTAAATCTGATATAGACACTAGTACACTTAACTTCCCCTTAAACTTTGATTTTATAAGGTGTGATAGACCTAACGATAGAGGAAGAGGAGGGTGTGGTATATTGATCAACCAAAATGTAAACCACAAATTACTCAATTTAGATATAACTTACTCTGATATTTCTAAAATCGAAGCTATATGGATACAACTCAAGGATGCCAATCTTTACATTTGCTGCTTCTACAGATCACAAAACTTTTGTCACCTAGATACTTTCCTTGATTATATGACTGAATGTATGATGAAACTTCAAGGTAAGAAAGTAATATGGATTGGCGATGTTAATGTTAACCAAAACTCTTTATCTGATCTAGATTATAAAAAGTTAGATATAACAATGAAGCTCTTTGGAATGATACAGACTGTTACAGGAATTACTAGAGTTGCAAACTTAGATGGTAGGATAACGCAGAGCACAATAGATGTTGTCATGACTAACTGTTACTCTAATTTCATAGAGTGTAAAGTACTTGATGATAGAATAGGAGATCACCCAGTGGCGTAACGTTGCCTGTTGTCGCCCCCCTGCCGAAAAGGCGCCCCCCTGTTGGCGCCCCTCCCCTTTTGGTGCCCCTCCCTAAAATTGAACAAATTAGGTGATTTTAGAGGATACGCAGATAAAATCTCTAAAAAAGTGTGTATCTAGAGCAAAACGCGCAGTTTTGCTAGTACTTTAGTTAAGTTTTCGAAATTGTCCCACATTCAAACGACGATTTGGCGCCCCCCTAAGACGGCGCCCCCCTGCACAGCAGGGTCAGCAGGGCCCTTCGTTACGCCACTGAGATCACCAAGCTCTCAAATGTGTTCTCGACTTTAAAGTAAGTAAAGCTAGTAAATTCCAGAAGGTTCTTATCAAAGACCACTCCTTAAACAATCTGAAAGCCTTAAGCTATTTTCTGGGATCCTGCAGCAACTACAGTAATATTCTAAGCTGTACTAATGTAGACCATGCCCTAGATGGACTTAATCATCACATCCAGGAATCGTATGATAATTACTGTCCACCTAAACAGATAAAATGTAATAGTAACTTTCTCTGTAATCCCTCTAAAGAACTGTTGGCAGAAATACGGAAGAAGAAGATGCTTTTCAGAAAGTATAAAAAGTGTTTAGGACAATTAAACAAATTCAAGTGTAATTGTATTAATGGAATATGTAAATGCAGAAAAAGTGAACTACATAAGAAATGCTCTACTTCGTGGGATAACTATCGTCCCCAAAGAAACTATGTGACAAAATTATCCAAAGAAAACAGACGTACAAATATTGTTCAGGACCTTACTGTGAAAAGTGCAAAAAACGATTTAAAAGGCATTTGGAAAACTATCAAACATGCTTCAAACTTAACTGGAAAAATAAGTAGCTCTTCCCCAAGCAACTTAAATGTTAACGGAGTTAACCTGCATTTTGCCACAGTTGGTACAATAATACAAGAATCGATTAAGGAAAAGGATTCAGACGACTTCCTAGAATATATGCCGCCTCCAACAGAGTGTAAACTCTCTGTATTCGAAGAGGTGACTGTTGAACAAGTAAAAGAATATATACTCAGTATACCATCAGATAAATCGATTAACGATATCATGCCCATTAAAATATATAAGTATATTATTCCCCAAATCATCGATCCAGTAGCTCATATTATAAACCTTAGTATGAAAAGTGGAACAATGCCGTTGGCATGTAAAATTGCATCAGTCACTCCAATTCTTAAAACTGGTGACCCTAATGATCCAAATAACTACCGGCCAATATCCATACTCCCCCTACTTGGAAAATGCATAGAATATTTTGTTAACCAACAGCTTACAGAGTATGTTGAAACAAATAAACTGCTTACCAACCATCAGTATGGTTTTAGAAAAGATCATTCCACCACTTTTCTAATGCTTAATCTATTTGATAAAATATTTACGTCTAAGGAATCACAGAAGAAACCTGCAATTGTATTCTTAGATATCAAAAAGGCCTTTGACACAGTAAGCCATAATATTTTATTAAAAAAACTTAAGTATTATGGAGTTGATGGCTTTGTCATAAAGTGGTTCAAAAGCTACCTTGGGGACAGAAAGCAACACACCAAAATACGTGGTAATGTAAGCACATCACTCCTTGTTAAAACAGGTGTGCCACAGGGTAGCATATTAGGACCAATTCTATTTAGTTTATTCATAAATGATCTCAGTAGAAATTGCACACAATCTACTGTTTACTTATTTGCAGATGATAGTGCACTATATTTTGATAACATTTCCCGAGGCATATATGAGAATGTAATTAAGGATATGAAAATTGTGTATGAATGGCTTAGAATCAACAAGCTAAGACTAAATGCTGCAAAATCTTCATTCATTGTATTTGATAGATCACCTAATCTGGACACGTTGTCAATCCCTCTGGATTTGGAAAAAGAATGCCTATTTATAGAAGAAACTAAATCTCAAAAATATTTAGGTCTCATGATAGACAATTTATTGAACTTTCAAGACCATATTGATTATGTGAAATCAAAAATTGCTAAAAGAATAGGGGCATTATACAGGTCGAAAAATCTTCTTCCACTAAAATATAGAAAAATGTTTGTAAATGCTCTTATGCTCCCCCAATTTGACTACCTGGATATAATATGGTGTAGGGCTGCCAAAACCAAACTTAATTCTCTTGATATATTATACAAGAAAGTAGCAAAAATTGCTCTGGATGTACATTGGCAGGAACCATCAGTAAATGTATATCGAAATATGAAGTGGTTACCC